TAGTAATCTATGCCCTTTGATACGGATATCCATTCCAGTTTTATCATAATAAAATTGCTATATTTCTAGCAATATAGAAATGATACATAACTACATAATAGAGAAACACTAATATGCAGTTTTGGAATGCTTTTTGGTGATATGAGTAAATTCTCTTGCTTTAATGGCATATGAAAAACCCAGAATTATAAAATTATTGTAAAATTATATGTAAGATTTCTCAACTCTATAAAGACTAGCATGGAGAATACCCAAAATATCTTAACAAGGGGTGCAGGAATTGGGAATGTTTTTAGCTCTAAGGAACTGAAAACCTAATTTCTGGTGCCACAGCACAGAGGAACTTATTTTTCTCTCACAAGTAGTCTGGAGGTCTGAGGGCCTGATGTCAGCCACTGGGTGATGTCAGGGTGGGTATCCCTGAAAGTCTCTCTTCTTTATGGTCACAAGATGGCTGCCCCAGCTCCGGGCATCACGTCCACATTCGAGGCAGGAAGGAGGAAGGGGAGTAGCACTGTGCCTGCAGTGTCTGCTCCTTTCATTAGGAGCATCAAGATGCCCCAGCAAATTTCTGCTTAGGTCTCTTTGACCAGAACCATGTCCTATGGCTGCCCCCAGCTACGAGGGCCCTAGGAAATGAGTATTTATTTGTTTGGAGTGGAAACCAGCAATGTGCTTATATCTGGTTGGTGGCTTAAGGATATTTTTATTTTCTGCTTTATTCAATTCTGTCTCATCTAATCTTTTTACCAGAAGCATTTATAATGTCAATAATTGAAAAAAATACAACGGATACTACTTTCAAATTCCCTTGTGAGGCTGTGGGCTCCGGTCTCTGGAAGCACCTGTACTGTCACCACTCAAAAATATGCAGAAGAAACTATGGGAGCTGGACTGGCCAGTGTATCTTCCCCAGTAGACTGTGACCCCTCCAGAGGGGCCCTCTCTGGTGCCAGGGAATGGGGTGGGGTGGGGAAATATACCATTTGTTTCATTCCCATCAGGCATTGTGCTAGTTATTTGGCAAGCATCTAATTCTTATAACAGGCTTTCTTTTTTTTAGACAAGAAGCTTAAATAAGCCACACATCAAAGTAATGTAAAGCTGAACCTCGGACTGGAGCATCAAGCTTTGATTTTGTGTGTTCCTGTCACATCGTACGATCAGTAAACATTGTGCTGAATGGATGCAGAGTGATTGAAGCATTTGGATGTATAATTTAAAAAAAGAAAATGACCGCCATTATTTCATAATTATTTCCTGTAGGGCATCTACATCACCATTAATTTTAATTAGTGCGACTGAAAAATAGCAGTCTGTATAAATTGCCTACAAGAGAGGAACTCTGTGTTCACTTGTCTGTATCTAGTATCCTTGACTAATTGCTGGCTAAACAATGAAAATGACTCCGGATGAAAAGACAGCTGAAGACTGATTTCCCATGAAGTCTTTAAAATGTTTTATTATAAAAAAAAAATTCAAACATATACAAAAGTAGAGAGAGTGGTAATATACCCCCATACACCCATCACCCAGCTTCAAGAACCATCAGTATTTTGCTAACTTTTTCATTGATCTCCCTTTGATATATATATTTTCCAAACTGGAGTATTTTAAAGCAAATGCAAAGAGTCGTTTCACCACGAACGTGTCTATAAATGGAATGAAAAGACTCTGTGTGGCCCTGTCTCTGTCTTCGGGTCAGCCTGCACAGGGAGGGACTCCACCCCAGCCGGCCAGGGCGCAGGGATTTCTGGGAGGCCCAGGAGCCGAGATGCACATTCCTCGCAGGCTGTACAATTTGTTTTGCTCTCAACCCAGGGCACTTCTTGGCTGAAACTCCTTCCGGCCTCAGGATTTATACTTTTCTCAAATGCTGAAAATAAGAAATCCGGCTTCCTCTAGCTAGAGACATCTGGGGAGTGTTGCTTCTGAAACTATTTTTGGCATGAACATGTCACCCGCGTTGTTTGCAGTGATTTGGAAATTTTAAGGTATGGAAAGCATCTGACTGAGGCTGAGTGGGCAGAGGTTGTTACACGGGCCAGTCATTTTCCATCAGGGTCCTGCTTCCTTTATTTTTCCTTTGTACTGTCTCTCTAGGACAAGGACTACAGCTATTTGAAAGGGGCCGGTATCTGAAAGGTGGCAGAACGGGTGTGGGGGAGGAGTGGCCAGTGGTGTGATGAAGGAGGAAGCTACTGGCTGCCTGTCCTTCCTTCAGCCTGCACACCCTCCCTGGCTCGCTGGAGTCCCGCACGCCGAGATTCGTGGAGAGTTCCTGGAGAAGGCTGGGTTGTGTTTGCTGCTGGGCTCCACCGGATAAGGGGGACAAAGATCCTGACTTTCTGAGTCCCATGCAGGGTACGAGGGATCAGGCTAGACCCACTGGGATGTTTCCCAGGATGAGCCAGGAAAAGAGAATACAAGGAGCAATCGGGAATTGTAGCTAGGGAGGAACCGGAGGGGTCCCGCGAGCAGGATGTAGTTTCGGCCACGGGCAGGCGTTGAGGCCATTGGGAACAGGTTGGGAAAAGGAGAATCGAGTGATGGGTAGTGATCCAAGCTGTAGAGTGTGAATGATCCAAGCTGTAGAGTGTGAATGAGGTGAAGCTGGGGAGTCTGGCTTCACTGGGTGATGGCGTGCACCACCACCTACTCTGGGCTCAGGAGATGCAGAGTAGATGAAATGGAAGATACCCCATGAGGAGGTGGTTGATTTATAACCCTGAATCTGTTTCGGTTCACAACACTTCTGATATCAAATGTGTGGGTTTTCTCCCACCAACAACCAGTTCTCCAAATCTCCAGACGTTAATTGGGTGTCCTACAATGTAATTTAATTCTGACACAAGCTACCTGGAGTTAGTGTCAGGTTCCACAGGTTTAAGGGCTCCGTCCCACAAGACTGCCCTCACTTCAGACACCAGTCGAAAGGCCTAGGTTGCCACCTGTACTTCTGACCAACCAGCTATAAATCGAGGGTTCCCACGACTTTCTCCTCTGACCCAATAATTTGCTAGAACAGCTCACAAAACTCAGGGAAACATTTACTTCCATTTACTGGTGTCTTATAAAGAACACAGATGAACGGCCAAGTGGAGAAGTGCATAGGACAAGGAATGCATGGAGCCTCCATGCCCTCTGAGTGTGCCACCCTCCCAATACCTTGATGTGTCCGCAGACCTGGAAGCCCTACAGATCCCATAATTTAGGGGGTTTTGTGGAGGTTTCATTACTTCGGCACGATTGATCAAATCATTGACCACTGGTGCATGAGTCAATCTCCAGCCCTTCTCCCCTCCCTGGAGGTTGGGGGGTGGGGCTGAAACTTCCAACCTTATCATCATGCCTCGGTCTTTCTGGAGACCAGCACCCATCCTAAAGCTGCCTCAGAACTCCAGTCAGAAGTCATCTCATTTGCATCCAAAAGATACTCTTATCACCCTGGAAATTCCAAGGGTGAAGAGCTGCGTTGGGAACCAGGGACAAAGACCAAATATTTATTTTTTTGTATTACGATATCCTTTAGCAAGGTTCATCCCACTTTCTCCCACCTGGGTGGGTTGAGGGTTCATTGGGATTAAGTGGGAAGAACTGAGAGAACAAGGAAAGGTCTCAGGGATCTCGATCCCCACCGCCCCACCCTTGGGACTGCCCCATCCAGCCTGCCTGGGTGGAACCCCAGTGGCGAAACCAGCTGAGCCTGGGCTCTGTGAGATGGAGGCAGGGGAAAGAGCACAGCAAACAGGGCGACGGGGTCCGTCTTCAGGAAGGCTGCTCACGGATGCCGCTCTGGGGACTCTATCCAGGAGACTGGACAAAGAGAAACTGTCCATATGCAGTCCAATGGGGACCAGTTCCATCTCCCCAACTGGTGTGTCACTAAATCACACGGTTCACAGCAACTTCAGCCCCATTTTTCACCAACAGGGGCGCTCACATCATGATCCATTAGGACCAACAGAAGGGATCAGGAACTCATGACAAATTGCTGTGTACCACAGTCCCGCACCTAGCCCCCCTCCTCCCATGGAGAAAATGTTACCCTTCTGGACAATGGGACCAACAAGACACCTCCATGTACATATCTGTTCATTGACTTGACCATTCATTACTTTGGCAATTCTCACATGTTTATTGAGAACTATGATTGCTTCCTTGGGCTCTGGGCTCCACGTACCCCTCCTCAGGGGCAGCATGGCAGAGCAGAATGTCCTCTGAACCAGGACCCTGGGACTCTTGTTCTTGTCCTGACCCTGCCACTTATATTTAGGTTCTCAGCTGCCATCTGTGAAAATGGGGCCAGGGACACCGTCCCATTGATCACCGAGACATGAGAATGCTTTATGACCTTTTAAGCGTCGTGCCTCTGTGATTTATGTCATCACCGCCATCTCTGCCTACCTCCCTAGGCTGGGGTGATGATTACGTGGACGAGAAGGGAGGGCGCTCTGTGTGAAGATGCAGCACATATGCAAGCATTTCCGGACGGCTGCCAGGGGGAGAGCGTGTGGATACTGTGCTTGCCGATTTCTCGGAAATCGGTGACATTTTTCACTGACATGTGTAGGAAGCCAAGTCTCTCCTCTGAGATTCCAAGTATGCGAGTGGAAGGGAGGGTGAGGATGAGCCCTTCTCTTCATCATGAGAAGAGAAAAGCAGAGGAGAATTGAGTTCTGGGAAGTAATAAAGATCTTAGTGTCAGCTGAAACGGCCCGCAAAAATGAGAAAGGGGAAGAACTGCCCAAGGTGTGTTTGCCTCCAAGACCTGCACACTTCCCCATATTCGTTCCCAGCCAGGACAGGTTCAGGTCCCCCTGCCTCCCCCGACCCCAAGTCTGGCTTGACTGCACCATGAGCCCAGAACGCGCGCTGGAGGATGTGTTACCACCATGTCTGATGCGTGTGCAGGCGGTGGACATAGGAGCGATTCATTGTCTCCTTAAGTCCAGAAGTCATTTCAGAAACCAGAGGTGAGCTGTCTTCTGCTGCTGGAACTATAGGTGGTTTTTATTTTCTCCTTTATACTTTCCATGGTTTTCCAAAAGTTTACAACAAACATCTATAACTTTACAAACCCACCCAATCCAAATCTTATTTGAAAAAGGAAGGAAATTGGAAGGTGGTGAATGCCCAGCTCTGAACTGAGGTCCATCAAGCAAGGCCAACCGGTATCTGTCACAGCAGGTAGAGGCCCTGAGCTGGAAGAAGTCCTGAAGGTCATCCAGCTCACCAGCCTGGCACCCAGTGTTGCTCCAACTCCTCGCCATTGCTCTCACCATGCCCCCTCTGAATGCCCTCCTCCCATCACCGCCGCCAAATTGGACTCATTGTTCAGGGCCCAACACGATCCTGCTAGCTCCGTGAAGGTGTTGTAAAGCCCTCCTTCTCCAACTGGGATGAACATCTGTCTCTCTCCTTTGCCCACGAGTGGAACTTTATTTGCACCTGTTTTATAATGCTTATCATCTGCCTCGTCCCAGAGTCATTTGGACCCAGGTCTAACTCCCCCAAAGGGCTGAAGCCTCCTCGACAGCAGGGCCTGAATATTATTGATCTTCGTGCTCCCAGTGACATCCTTAGACTGGCGCATGCTGGACTTTAAATGAATGTTTGTTGAACTTATGTGAATGAAAAATATATTCTAAAAGTGGGATATTGTGATCTATCACTTGATGGCAGGGCTAACCAGCCTTGGCACTGTTGTCATTTGGGCTTGGGCAATTCCACGTGGTGGGGAGCTGGGCTGCTTGGCAGCATCCCTGACCTTTACCAATAGACACTTTTGCCAACAGACACCTCCAATTGTGATGACCAAAAATCTGGACATTGCCTTTTGTCCCTCAGGTTGAGAACCACTGGTATGTGGTTTGTAAAGTGTCTTCATCAACAGTCCGTAGATGTAGGAATTCCCGTTTGATGGATGAGAAAGGCAAGGCTCATGGAGTGTGGAGAGCTGAAGTTGGGTCTGGCATGTAGGTGTCATTTCAAGTCCAGGGCTGATCTCCCTATCCTGGAGGCCTCCTGGGACCCCAGCAAGGTCTTTGCAATTCCACTGTGGTGTATCCATTCCACCCCACCCCTATGTCCCGGGTTCCACCCTATCCTTTTCCCTCTGCCTCACCCCTGGGGCCTGTGCCAGGCTGTGACCCACTGGTTGACCCTACTGGTCCACGTGGACTAGACCTCAGGTGGTGCCTGATCACATCCTCTCCAGCACCTTGAACTCCTCCCCATGCTTGAACACGCTGATGGTGACCTGGCCCGTCTCGGAGCCATACTTATTCTTGACAAAGACGCCATAGCGCCCGCTGTCCTCACTGTTGACCCTCTCGATGGTGATGGTGACCTCTGTCCCCCTCACCTCCATGTGGTAGCGGTCAAGGAAGGTGACAGGCTGGTCATTCTTCAACCAAGAAATTTCAGGGGCAGGGTCTCCTGAGATGACGCAGGTCAGGCACAGGGTCTGGAAGGACAGGAAGGGAATGCTCGGTCATCTCCTGTGCTAGCCCCTGGCATTCACCTTCACTCCCGCAGGGAGCTCCCAGCACAGGCTGCTCCCTGTGATAAATTCATTCTGTGGGGGGTTTTGTATCATATAAAGGGATGACATTAAGGGAGAGACATTTGACTTTAACCCCATGTCCTTCATCCTCAACTTTTTGTTGTTGTTAATCCTCATCTGAGGATATTTTTCCATTGATTTTTTTAGATAGAGTGGGAGGGAGGGAAGGAGAGAGAGAAAAATAGAGAAAGAGAGAGATCTATGTGAGAGACACATTGATTGGTTGCCTCCTGCACAACCCTGACCAGGGCTGGGGATCGAACCGTACATTCCCTTGACAGGGACTCAAACCCGTGACCCTTCGGTCTGCAGGCTGATGCTCTAACTGCTGAGCCAAACTGGCCAGGGCCATCCTCAACTTTTTTTTTTTTTTTTTATCCTCACCCGAGGATATTTTTCCATTTTTTGTACAGATAGAGTGGGAGGAAGAGAGAGGAAGGGAGAGAGAGAGAGAGAAACATCGACGTGAAAGGGACACATCGAGTGGCTGCCACCCGCACGACCAACCAGGGCCGGGGACAAACTGCAACCGAAGTACATGCCCTTAGCGGGAACCGAACCCGGGTCTCTCCGGACCGCAGGCCGACGCTCTAACTGCTGAGCCAAACTGGCCAGGGCCATCCTCAACTTTTTTACACTAATACTTACTAGTTAGGATTTTAGATCATTATTATTCTGGCCATTTATCTGCCCCAGAATGGCCTGAACTTTGCTTCATTGCTTTTTGTGCCATATATGTCATTATTACATATGCAGATAAGACGATATCGCTTTAATATGAAGATGTATAAATTGAGTTTGAAAATTCTTGAATAAGCTCTAAATCAGAGCCCTATAGTATCATGGTCAAACCCTGAGTCTGGAGCTGGACGGCCTCAGCTCTGCCCCTTCAAGCTGTGTGATCTCAGGTAAGTCCTTTAACCTCTCTGGGCCTCTGTTTCCTCAGCTGTCAAGTGTAACTAGGAATAATACCTGACCTCATGCGGTTTCCTTGATGGTTAAACAAGCTCGAATATGTAACATATGCAACAGTACCTGGCACAGAGTAAGCACCGTAATAATGTTAGCTATCATTTTCTAGACTATTAGACTTGCATAATTTCGGCCCTGGAAGGGTTTTAGGGATCATGTAATTGAACTGAAGTTCACAGTTGGAGGTGCATATACCCAGGACCAGTAGAGAGACCTGGCAGAGCGAGGGCGCACACCCCAAGGGCCTGACCCCAGGCTTGGGACTTCCTTTATGCCACATGTGACCACGAGGTGTAGTCACCGGCCAGGTGCTGGAATCCACGGTGCTCTGCTGTGCCATGATTTTTTATGGGTACATGAGGGAGCACAGCATGTGACTGCTGGCCGTGGGCGGGGACAGTCAGTACCTTATCCTCCATGATTGTGGCCACATCTGGCAGGCCCCTCACCACTTTGGCACGATCTGGAAGGAAAAACGAGACCCCGGTGATGAGCGTGTTCTTGCAGGTTGCTTCCCAGAGCGTTTCCATAGAGTTGAGGCTTGTTTTTAAGCAATGCTCCATCAGTTTTGGAGTGGAAATCTTTAACTATTTTTAAAATATTTTTATTAATTTTATAGAGAGAGAGGAAGGGGGAGAGAGAGCGAGAAACATTGATGTGAGAGAGAAACATTGATCGGCTGCCTCCTGCATCCCCCCCTGGGGATCGAGCCCACAACCCGGGCATGTGCCCTGACAGGGAATCGAACCGGGACCTTTCAGACCATGGGATGACGCTCAATCCACTGAGCCACACTGCCGGGCAGGGGTGGGAATCTTTAAATCTGTATTACCTGTTTCCTTGCCTTCAAAAGCAGAAGCTAGGGGACATGTGTGTTTCTATCCTTGACTCCAACCCATCCTCATGATCAGTGGTACCTGGAGGTGACAGTGAGGTGCCTCCCCCCTCAAGAACTGGGAAAGAAGGTTCATATGATTGCTCTGAGCCCTTAACTGGCAAAATGCACACAATAGGTGGAGATGAACCAGAGACCCAAAGGGGAGCAAGAAATAGTGGGACGGAAGCTTTTGGGACAGTGACTCTGGTCAAGGAGGGGACCTGATGGCCATGGAGGGTGGGCAGGAAGGGTGGTTGTATGTCACTAAGCAGAAAGTCAAAACATTCCTTCCGCTGCAATCGCTGCAATCGTGGGAGCAGCAGGCCTGGGCAGCACGGACCCCGGAGCACGGGTCAGGGAAGTGCAAAGAGCCTGTGTCACTGGGCTGGTGCTGGTCCATGGAGGTAAGGGGAGCAGGACCCCGAATCGTGGTGTGGGGAGAAGGCCCCAGAGGTGGACGCTGTCGAGTGTTCACCAGCCCTTCACAGCTGGGTGACACGGTCCACGTCCTTTGACTCTGGATTCCACAAGCCCCAGCCACCACTCACGGTGAATTCCGTCCCCTCTGCAGGGAAGCGCTCCGGGAGGGGAGCGGGTGTTCTCGCCGGGTAAGGGACTAGACTGGCAGAGGGAGGGGCCTGGGAGCCTCCGTGAGCATGTGGGCGCTCCTCCTGGCAAGGTGCAGGCTGAGGGGTCTCCGGGCTCGCTTTTCCCACCACGGAGACCGCCCCCCGCATGGTCACTGAGACCCCATGGCCCCTTCCAGGTTGTACTTATGAACACCGAGGCCGGCACTTCCTGCCAAGTGGGGACACTCAGGGACAATGTCCCCATGCAGGGGAAGTCCCTCCTCCCACCGGCGACCACAAGCTAGCAGAGTGAGTTCTCCCTGCTACGCCTCAAAGCTGTTCAGTTCCCTCCCTGGCTGCCACGAGCTCAGGGCTGCTATGCTCTGCCCCCAGAATCCTTTCCTCACGAGCTCCTGCGTCGTGGGTCAGTGGGACCTGACAGTCCCCTGGAACTGGGGGGTTTAGACCTGGCCGGCCGAGCTGACGAAGTCTGAGTGCGTGGACTTGGTGGCAGCACCCCAGGCAGCTCAGACACTGTGCCACGTCCCTGTGGGTTTGGGGCTGAGCCCCAAGTAGATGAGGCTCCAGTGTCCCAACAGCCAGGCCAGCTTCAGCTTCAAAGTCGTCCCCTCCCTACACTTCACCCAGAGGGGCCAGCCCAGCCTGGTCCAGTCTCTCCCCTTCCTGTCGGGTTCCACCTGCCACTGCACCTGACGTTGCCCAGCCTGCTTGGCACCAGGCTCCGCTGGGTGCTTCCACACCCCAGTCTCAGGTACCCTCGGACTTCCAACCCATCTGTCTTCGTGCTGTCATCGCTCAGGTCTCCTGGCAGCTCCGTGACAGCTCCGAGCCACACAGAGCCCACTGGGACCCTGCCAGGAGACATGAGCTCCCTGGAAGCCGCCCCACCCCAGGAATGAAACAGAAATGTCGGTGGACTTACTCTTCTCGATGATGGCCAGGGCTCTGAAAAACAGAAATGGAAAGACGCTCGAGGTTCCACTTACTGAAGGACAGTCCTGCTTGGGTGGGGGTGACGGGATGACGAAGGGAAGAAGGAGCTGGCGCGGGCTCCCAGAACAGGGCCCCGTGCCCGGTTCATGCCAGACCCAGGGGGCGCATGGTTTACACTGAGAGACACCAAGGAAACTTACTTCAGTCTCTGGTGCTCAGCCAGGGCGTCGTCAAAAGCTGTGAGAAGGGAACAGGGAGAAGGGAGAGGGGTATGTCAGGGCATCTGTCCTTGTGACCCAAGGGCACAGGGCTCAGCACGAGGGGTCCGCCACTCTCTTCCCTCCCAGTCCAGTATTCTAATGCCACGGTGGGTGGGGGATGGGAATCCCCCCAAAAGACCACGGGGTTTCTATTGAGGACAGACAGGTGGACAGCTCACCTTGCCCTGAGAGATCCGTCGAGAGTTGCCGGACTTCCTTCCCAGCAGCGATCTCCAGGGTGTATTTGCCCTTGTCTGAGTCTTTGGGATCCAAGATGTGGAGCCAAATCTCATCCAGGGTGGTGCCAGCCCTCACCCGGTCGCCACTCTCCAGGCGCTTCTCTCTGATTGTGAAGGAAGAGAAATGGTTTACACGGCTCAGCCCGTCAGTGCTGCTCAGGAGGCTGTCGGCAGGTCTACAGGCTCCCCCTGCCCACAGTCCTCTCCTGGGGCTTTGTTCCAAGTTCATGGGCTGAAGGTGGTGACCATCCATGAGATATTCCATAACTATTCATCCACCCATCCATTCATCATCCACCCATCCACCCACCCACCCACCCATCCACTTATCCATCCACCATCCATCCACCCATCCATCCATCCATCCATCCATCCAGTCTTTAAATCCTGTGGCACATCAATATGTGCCACTGCTGTCTGTACTTGTGACATGTCCTGCAAGCTGGGAATTGGAGGAAATGGTGCTCCTGGGCCAGTGACCTCCAGTCACTTCCTTACCTCTTCATTCTTATCTTAAACCCTCCCGAGATTCCTTCCACACTCACTCTCCCCTAGCCCTTAGAAACCATATAAACTTTTTTTATTAACTTAAAGTTCCTTCCTGGAGACACCTGTCCCATGTCCACAGTGTTGTGTTGCAGAAGTGACACCTCTCGGTTTAGTCACAGAGCTCAAGAACTCTAGAGTAGGAGCTCCATTGTCCTGGAACTCAGTGTGGCCTTGGCTCTCACTCATTTCACAAACTTGACCAAGTCAGTCTAGCCTTCGCTACAGAGTGGGTGCAGCAATGTCTGCTCCACAAGGCTGAGGAGTGCAAATGAAGCACCGAGGAACTTCTGCTCTCAAACTATCTGGGGTCACTTAGTTCGCGGCCAACTCTTCGTGGATACTTTAACTATCCTGCCTTCAAGCCCTGGCCCTCAGTTAGTTGTCAGCCTCACAGGTCCCTCTGCTTGAGCCTGAGTTTGCAAAGGCTGCAAAGACCCACAAGGGCACCATGCCCCCACCCGACTGTCTGCTTCTCCCTCATTCCTGTACCCTTCCCTCCCCAGTTCCAGATGCTGCCTGAAGACAATGATCCTTCTGTGGTCGTGGATATTCTTGAAAAATGGTTCTACCACCAGGCTGACCACCTTCCCTGAGGGATCTCCTTTCGGCTCCTTATCCCTGACTCCCTCTGTGGGCAACAGGAGCAGTCGGAGAGCCTGTCTGCCGGCCCCTGGGGCCTGGGCTGTGGCAGGTGCTGGGCCCTCCGACAGCATGGGCAGGGCTCCAGGGTGAGGTTGACCTACTTGTGGAACCAGGTGGTTTTCATGTGCTCCACGCTGTAGTACTTGACCTTGCTGAAGACACGGATCCCCTCCTCAGTCCCCTGGACTTTCAGTGGGGTTGCAGAGAGGACTGGGGAGGCAGAGGAGACGCGTGAGTCTCCCCATGCTCCTTTGGGCACCACATTTTGGGGCCTGCCAGCTTGTCTCTGCTCTTGGGGTACAGTGGGGGAATGCAGTGTTGTAAGAAGGCAGGAGCTTCTTCCCCCCACCCTTTGAGTTTGGAGACGAAACCCACCCCTAGGAGCCAAGGCTGGTTGCAGGTCCCCTGGAGGTGATCGGGCACCATGGCAGGGGTGGGCGCAGAGAGGGGCTTACTCACCCCCAATTCTGCTCAGCTCAGTGAAGAGGGCATCCAGGGCTGGAGGGAGACAGAGAGAGTGGTCAACTGGTGTCGGACTCCCCGGATGTAGCAGGTTGGGGACATCCTTAGAAAGGCCGGTGGGCGCACAGGGAGCCCTGCAGGATGACTCCCGTAGCTGGGGACAGAGGGCGCCTGGGGCACTCAGTGAACGATGGGGCGGGGGCACCACGATGGAAGATAAATGGGCCGACTTGGCAATTTTCTTGCCAGCTGAGCCAACAGGCTGGATGAGGAGCCAGGGCCCACTGTGGGGCAGAGGCATGAGTCTTGAAGCCTGGGCTCACCGTGGTACGTTTCAGTGAACATGGGCATCAGTGTCACACACACCAGGCCCCTGCCACTGACTAGCTGTGCAGCCTTGGGCTGGTCACTTAACCTCTCTGGGCCTCAGTTGCCCCAAGTGACATGAGGTTCCCATACATTTTACCCCACAGGTCATAGCCCTGTCTCTGGATTCAGTGTGATCTCCCAACGGTCCTCCTGGCGCATCTCCAACATCGCCAGCTCCTACCTTCCCCTGTGAGGTCCAGGATGGTGTCGTCCTCCCCTCGGTCATCAGAAACCACTGCTCTATAAATCCCCATGTCCTCTTTGGACAGCTGAAAGAAGGGTGAGCGGCGGTGTCAGTCCAGGCTCTGGGCCTGCCCGCGCTCGCTGTGTGATCTCAGGCGAGCCCTCTCCTCCCCGGGCCTCAGTTTACCCATCTGGAATGGGTGAGCTCTAAGGCTCCCCCCAGCTCCAGAGGTTCCAACTCAGAGCTTGTCGGGGTCTGAGGGTGTGGTGGGCGGAGGGTTGATGGCAGCTGCTCCCAGCAGAGCACGGTGTGCCTCCTGGTGGCGCTTGTCTGAGTGTCCCCCCACCCCCCGGTGCCCTGCTTCCTGGGGGCCCCTGGAAGGAGGGACCCCTCTGCAGTTCTCCAGAAGGAAGTGTGTTCTTTCACTCAGGACAAGGGAGTCCTCTCTGGTACATGCTTGTTGACCCCCAAGTGAAGACTGAATCCACACTCAGTAAACCAATAACTTGGGTGGTACTTTTTTTTTTTTTATCCTCACTCGAGGACATTTTTCCATTTTTTATTCAGACAGAGCGGGAGGGAGAGAGAGAAAGAGAGAGAGAGAAACATCGATGTGTCGATGTGAAAGGAACACACCAAGTGGCTGCCACCCGCACGACCCAACCAGGGCCGGGGACAAACTGCAACCGAGGTACGTGACCTTAGCGGAAACCGAACCCGGATCTCTCTAGACCGCAGGCCGACGCTCTAACCACTGAGCCGAACCGGCCAGGGCTTGGGTGGTACTTTTTAAACAAGGCCCAGAGGTCAGACATGGCCCCTCATTACACACGGCCTCCCTCGGGGCCTGGGGAGTGATCTTTGCCTCCCTGTCCCCTAGAAGGGCCTCCCGCCCCCCACCATCTCTACACAGTGTTCTGTGGGGCCGCATCCAAGGCAGAAACAGCTCCTAATTGGGGATCAAAGGGCTGAACCCCAATAGTCCTTTTTTAGGTCTTTTCCCTTCTCCCCCAGTGAAGGCTCCAAAGTCCCCAGCACACCCTAGGGAAGGCCACTGGAGTGACTCCTGACCCCTCTCTCTAGCCTCCGCCTTTGCACGTAAGCCCTCTGAGCCTCTGTTTGCTCACTAACATGGTGGCCTGACCCTGCCTGGCCACGGCTGCCGCTGCTGTGAGGCCTGAGGGAACCCCTCCTCGGAAGCCAGCGAGCTCTGCACCGAGGGCGGATGACTGTAGGGCTCGGAGCTATTAGGCACCTCCTTGATGCCAGGCCCTGTGAGGAGCGTGCTCCACGATGACCAAGGCCACCTTGGCACTGTCCCGCTCGGGATTTGGGAGAAGACCCTGAAATCCTCATTTCCTTCCTATTTAGCGGACCTGCGTTTCTCCAGTCCTCCTCGGCACCCAGCGAGGCCACAGACATAAACAGCAGGGCAGAAAAACATGGGATGTTTGCCAAGGAGACTTGCATTTCTGTCTTCTCAGAGGCCACGGGGGACATGGGTGGGTGAACTGAGTTCCAGGCCCGGAGCCCAGCCTTCCTGTGCCAAATTCCTGGACTGTCAGAGCAGGAAGGAACCCCTGAGAGCGCCCCTTCCAACCCTCTCATGCTCCCAACGAAACAGGTCAGAGAGGGACAGTGACTCGCCCAAGGCCACACAGTGGCAGGGCCAGGACTAGAGTCCAAACAAAAGGAAAAAATCAGTATTACTGATCCTGTCCTTACTTAAAGTTTTGTTATTGTTTCCCTCATGGTCTTTTTTGCATTAATTTTGATTTTTTAAAAATATTGCATGAAATATGATTTATCTTGATTACTGAGGTTTTTTTTTTAAAGTCCTCATCCATGGATAATTTTCTATTTATCTTCAGATAGAGTGGGAGAGAGAGAAAGAGAGAGAGAGAAACATCCATGTGAGAGAGACACATTGATTGGCTGCCTCCCGCAGGACCCCAACCAGGGTACGTGCCCTTGACCGGAACCGAACCCACAACGCATTGGTCTGCAGGCTGACGCTCTAACAGCTGAGCCACACCAGCCAGGGGTTGTTTACTGAGTTCTTAGTGCCCCCTTAAATTTTGTACCTGTGTGGAGGGCTCACTTGCCTCCCCCTAGTCCCAGCCCTGCTCCTGGCTGCCCCCCCAGTGCCCTGGCGCCGCCTACGGGTGTGAGCCCTGCAGTACCTCCTCGATGCAGAGAAGCCCCGCGCCGGTCTGCGGGTCATACTGGCCATCCGGGGCCTCTTTCTTCTGGAAGAGCCACTGGAAGCGGGTGTCCTGCTTGGTGTTGGTCACCTGAGGGAAGCGGAGCATGAGGCTCCACCAGGCTTCCTCTTGTCAAGTGAAAACTCAGCTCATCGGACCTGTTTTTACAGATGTGCCGCTTTCCCTGCCCAGACACACCCTCGCCACGGAGTCTCAGCCCCCTTCCTCCTCACTCCCGTGTGCTGGCTTCCCAAGAGGACTTGCTAATGGTGCTCCCTCCGCCTCTCCATCCCTCCCCTGCTCCACTTTCCCCTTGTACACGCCTGTGTATCTTTGCTTCTTAGATGTCACTTCCTTCAGGAAGCCTTCCTTGAAGCACCCGGAGGGCCTCCCATCGTGATTAACCAATCTCCTGCACACTTCTCCATCGTAGCAGGAGGCGTGCTGTTTTCCAGGGATCCTGATTGGCCCTCGGCTCCTAGAAGCCTGAGGACACACTTCATCCTCCTTGTACGCCAGTGCCTTGCAGCGTGTCTGGTGCACAGTAGGTGCTTTGAGTGTTCTGAAAGGATCTGCTTCTGGGAGAATGCCTGCCCCCCACCCCCGTTCCCCAAGAGGCTGCAGGCTGATGAGAAAAGCCCAGATTTGGGGTCAGACAGACTCCAGGCTCCACCTCTTGATCTTGAGCTATTTCCCCATTTGTTTTCTCATCTGTAAAGTGTAGTGAATAATGCCTACCTCACAGATGCTCCTGAGGCAGAGAAAGTAAAATAATGCTCGGAAGCACTGAGCAGAGCGTCTGGTAAGGCTGCCAATAGACACCAGGGAACCCCATCAACGTACAGACCCTGGAGATCTAGGTCAAGGCTGACCCAACGCACACGAACTCTGCTCCCTGGGCTCTGTGAAGGGGGCTTTGCTTTCTGGTTAAATGCAGCCTCCCTGGGGCTACTTTGCAGGTGTGGGACCAGCCAAGCACAGGGTAATGGTTTTGGGGGAGCGGAGCAAGTACAGCCACCGGACTTGGGGACAAGCCACAGATGTTGCCCCAGAGGGCCTGGGGGCAGGGCTGGGGACCGGGACAGAGATTTGCCTTGCACGTCAGCAGCACTCGGCAGTCCTCCGTGACCGTCCACTGTAAGAACTCCTTGAAATAGGGACCTGCAAGTACAAAACCCGCCCACTGGTCAGAGCTCCAGGCTCAGCCAGGGCGCCACCTGTTGACAAGACAAGGGAAGGCAGTTGGGGTTGGGGCAGCTAGTGACCACTGGGCCCTCAGATTCTGCCTCAACCAGGGCTGGTGGGTGGGAGTGAGGGAACTGGGGTGAGGCAAAGGAGGTGCCTAGGGTGCAAAATTTAAGGAGGCACTCACTCTCCTGGTTGGGCAAGTGCTGTTTTATTCTGGCACAGGGACAGCTGGATTGAATTGCAGCGAGTTCCCCAGTGGGCACAGCAGGGCTTGGGGACCTACTAACTAGAGTTCCCCAGCACTGTCCCCTGGCCCAGTGGCCGAGGCCTTTGAACTTCACTCCAGCAACTCTTACCCTGTTTTCTCTTCCAGTCTCTTCTCTTAGCATCTGCCTTCCTCAGAAGTTTGTCGAAATCTGTGAACACACAGCGAGGGACTGGCATAAGCCAAGAGGAACACAGGCTCAGAGAGGGGCATCAGGGTGGACAGAGACCCCAGAGCTGAGAGCTGAGGCTGGGTGCACGGGCAGGGAGGGCGGGGAGGGCGGGGTGCAGCTGACCGTCGTCCACCAGGGCCAGGGTGATCTGGTTTTTGGCTTTTCCATCTTGGAGCTGAGCTGTGTACGACCCTTTGTCATCCTCAGACAAGTTCTGGATGATCACTTCCACTAGGCCCTTCTCTCGCTCAAAATTGATTTTGCGATTCTGCAAAGAACAAACCCCAATAATAATTTTTGCCCAATTTCCAATCCCAGGGAATTTGCATTGTGGTGCATAAGTGGGGTACAGTTGGACTTGGGGGTGATATGTACAGAGTTAGAAGCCTTCAGAGATGGGGAGGAAGCCCTGGATAAACCTCTGCTGCTTATAGCATGGGGTTCTCCCCACACTCAGCCCTGAGAACACCCCTGGGGTCCAGCAGGCACAGGAATGAGTTTTGGGTGCTTCAATTAATTGCAATTAATAATAAGTCCCAATCCTCTACTGTGTTACTTTTTTTGTTATTTTCTATTTCTTTCCTAATTCTCCATAGAAATATAAAGATAATATTTTGAAAAGCCTGTGGGCTTGCTACCCAGAATTAACAGTCATTTATAATTTGTCATATTGTAAGTTTTTAAAAGTTTTCTTTTCTACATTTAGAACCGTATTCCCTCTGGCCTTATTTGTATGTGTGGTTTGAGGGAGCCATCTAGTCTTATTTTATATTTCTGTTATGGCCCCTGAGAGTCCCAATGCTCTGTACCAAGAGCCAGACTTTGTAACACTTCCTCTGCCATGTGCCAAGGTCACACTTAATCGTCAAGCAGAACATTCAAATCTATCTTCTTGTTTGCTCCTCCGGTTTCTGGGACAGCCAGCTCCACTGTACAGACGCAGGAACGGAGGCACACAGAGCTGAAGGGTCGTGCCCAAGGGCACACAGCCAGCAGGGCTGCCACATGCGTCCTGGGACATCTAGCTCAGCTCTTTCTCCTCTGTCAAAACCAGCGCCCTCTCCAATGACAATAACATTCACAAATAATATGATCTCATGATCGAAGCTCTCACGAGACTGAAACGGTCATGTTTGTAATAAAAAAGCCGGGCGATTCATGTGGGTCAACTAATAAAAAGCAGTGGAATACCACCGCTGTGACAGGAAGACATAAAAGTGATATGATTTTCGGTATGCAGGTACTCAGATACACTCGCATGCTGCACTGATTCGTAACGCATTGGTTTGAATTTGAGACAGGCAAACAGATAAAAGAAAACACCATTCTGTACAAGAAAAAGAAAATGAATGAAAGAGCATAGGTGAAGTGTTTACTTGAATAAAAACACTATTCAGTGCATATTAAAACTGCAAAATTTCTCTGTATAGGGTCTAAGCTTGGATAATTATGAACGTAGGTTTTTCATCTGAAGAATGTCTGGTAGAACATTCAAAAATTGTAGGGGGTGTGGGGAATTCTTTGTGAGAGTGTTTGTTCCTGCACTGACAGGCATTTACAGTCCCCGCCATCTGTTCCCAGCTACTGAAAACCACGTGTCCCCATCCGGTTCCCACCCCACCCCATAGGCAGCCGTCTCTGAAATGTCCGCTAGGGGGCGCTGCCGACCTTAGGGGAACCACTTCCAGGGGCAGCCAAGAGCGGAGCAGGGAACCTCACTTATGAATCTCAGTTCCAGTTACCGGTGAGCTGAAGATCTCCTTCTTGTTGAAGATGAGATGCAGCTCTGCAGCCGGAGATAACTTTTCTACTTCCAGCCAAAGCCGCACCTCTCCTTGCTCCAGGACGTCAATGTTCCAGCCGGAGATCAGCTTGATCACTGGGAGGCAGAGGACAGAGGACAGAGGACAGGAAGGAGTGGGGTGGGGCCCCCTTCTCTCCTGCCTACTGGCCACCAGCCCCACCCCGAGCACACTGTTGGCATTATGTGCACGGTGCTTGAATGTGTGAAGGAGACTCACGGGGGCGGGGGTCTGAGGAGTTTATGCATGCCCACTCTAGAGTGAATTCATCTGAAGGAAGTGTTTCCTCTTCCCATGTTTGAAGGCCATGCTTCTCACCCTGACTGGACACCGGATCCCAGAGGACTTTCCAAAGCATGGGTGTCCAGGCTCAGGCCCCGAGGTTCTGATTTGTCTGGGACATGGCCTGGGCATCGGGATTTTGAAAAGCTCCTGGGGTGATTCCAATGTGCACCCAAGTCTATGACCTCTGCACACTACCAGCCAGTGGAGAGAAGCAGAGGTTTCGATGACCCAGAATCCAACCAAGAAGAAATATCCACTCTGCCCTCCCTTGCACCCTCTGTCCACCCTGCTGGTGTCCCTTTTCCATTTCAGGGACCACTGACACCCTGGTCTCCAGCCTGTGATGCCCCCGCTCTCTGCCCCGCCCCCCCCAGCTAGTTTTTGGCTCTTGCTGACTCAATTCTACTCCAAACACCCCAGAGTTGCCTAGGATGGCTTACCTGGGTTTCTGATCTCATGGCTCAACTTCTTCAGCTTGTCCAGCTCTGGGACAGGGAGGAGCAAGGAAGAAACCAAAGAAAATGAAATACTGGGGCCAGTAGGGTCCATGGAAGCCATGCGGGTCTATGCTGGGTGAAAGTCCCGAGACACACCACCTCAAACTGGGGTCACTTGCAACCCAGGGGTTGATGATAAGCATGTGGGCCTTGGCCCTGGGGTCCCCCAGGGGGGTGTGGAGGGCTGCTGCAGGTCACCTTGAGATCGAGTGCCACCTCTCCAGGGAAGTGCCTACTGTGTGCCAGGCACTGCACTATCTCACTAAGTCCTCACACCATGCTGTGGAGTCAGCATTACTGTCCACCTCTGACCGCTCCAGGCCCACTGGGTTCTGAGCCCTACTCTTAACCCACTGTAACACGCTGTCCTAGAGTCTGAGGTCTGTCTGGCCCCAACACTGAGTACTTCAGTCTAGAAGTCTCTAGGGCAGGTCTGCAGAGTGCTGTCTCATTTGCTAACTGCTTCTTTGTTAGATTTGTCTCTCCTGCTAAGCTGAGCGCTAGATCTGCATGAGTGTCTGGCACACAGTAGGTGCTCAATAAATAGGTGTTGCATAGAAGAACTGGCAGGGGCAGAGCCCATACTCATTTTCCCTAGTAAGCCCCAGAGTCTTTAGCATGAGGAGTCTGGACTCATGGCAAGAATCCAGTCAAAACCAAACCAAACCAAAAAACCCATCCTTTCTGTTGATGGTTTTAGTTTGCATAGATTCATCTACATGTATCTGCATAACATTGTTTCAGTTGAGGCCCAGAGAGGTGACATGACTTGCTCAAGGTCAAACAGCCAGAAAATTGTAGAATTGTAATTGGGTCTGTCTGGCTTCTGCTGTTTAACAAAATCAAAGGACTCCCTGTGTAGTCAGCAGGGAAGGCAACGGGCTGTCTCTCAGTTGCTATGGAGACAGCAGAGAATGAGTCTTAGCACTGATTTTAGTTCTGTTTAAATCATTAAACATGGATGACCCTTTAGACATGGCATCTACTCTCCAGTTTGTCATAGTCCCCACTGCTCCCTATTGCCATCCTCATTCCTCTGACCAAAAGTTTTTTGTTTTGTTTTGTTTTTAGGCTACAGAAAGAAGTACTAGAAGTACAGAAATAATTCTAGTACCTTTGCTTTGATCAACAGTAGAAGAAGGAAAGAGAGACCAGAAGAATGTGAACTCCATCAGGCAGGGATTTTTGCCCGTTGAGTTTACGGATGTAATCCTGGGACAGTACCTGGCATTTGGAAGGTGCTCACTAGATATTTATTAATTGACTGGCTGCCTGATTGGGTGGAAGAGGACCCAGTTCTCTGGAAATGACTGCTTTGCTAGTTTTTGTTGCTTTTTGCCTGCCTCTCGGGGACCCTGATCTAGGCTCGTCGCCCTGGGCAGGCAGCAGTAGGGCAGGGTGTTACCTTCCTCAGTCAGCGTGTGGCTCGCTGAGATGTCTTCATCCGCATCGGTGACCACCACTGAGTAGGTGCCCAAGTCCTCGAGGCCAGGTTCCTTCAGGATGACCTTGGACCTGGCAGAGAGGAGAGCAGGTGCTCTGAGCGGGGCCCTGTGCACTGGAGGCCTGGGAGCCGGCCAGTCTCGGTCAGCTTGGGGGTCCTGCAGCCCAACCCCTGACCACGGCCAAGCTGCGAACAGGGTGGCGCTCCATCACACCTCCTCGGGGTCCTCTACCCAGGGCTGCTCTGGCCTGGAGCTGTCAGCGGCCCTGTTAGTGGGCTTTCTGGCACAGGGTCTTCTTACTGTCTGCACTGCCCCGTGTCTCCCTCCGGGGCTCAAGTCCTCAGCTCTATCTCCTGCTGGACAGGGCTGAGGCCAGGAACTGCTGGGGGTGGAGAGTGAGACCTGGGGGCATCTGACAGGAGCCCTTGTGGTCATCTGTTCCCAACCCCTACTTTTACATGAGATGATGCTGAGCCCGGAGATGTTCCAAGAACAAGCCACTGGCTCCCAGGCTAGAAAGCAAGTCCTGCGCATCTCCTTGGAAACACGCAGTTGCTTACAGGAGAAGATTCAAAATAAATGCTGTTCTTTCAGCCCCTGAAATGCACTGTTCCTTCATTTCTCCCGAAGGTGGTAATCAGCATCCTTAGCAAGAGACAAGAGCCCCTCTCAGGCCCATTCGTCATCTGTGGGTCCTGCCAGGTAGTCTCACCCACGAACTTGTGCCAACTCATCTGACAACAGGGGGGGCCTGTGGACTAGCTGTGCCACCTCCGCTCACTCACTTGTTTACTTCCTCCTCGATCTTGACCCTCTGGGGATCTGGTGGGCCCTTGTAGTCCTTGGACCACTGAAACTCTGAGGAGTCGGGGGCCTCAGGGGCTTCGAAAGCCAAGTAGATAAAGCCTTCTTCATCCACACCAACCTTGATCTCTGGGGCATCTGAGGGCAGGATCCAACAGAGGGAACCGGATGTTTATACATGATAAACCAGGTCATGCCCCTCCCCTGCTTAAGCCCTCCAAGGTCTGCCTCTCACACTTGAACAAGATAACAACCCCAGGCTTCTTGCTGTGGTCTCTGAAGCCTGATCTAGCTCCTTCTCAGCTCAGATGTCACCTCCTCGGAGGGGCCCTCTCTGACCACCGGTGAAAGGAACCCTCACTCCACCATATCACCCTGTTTCATTTCCCTTGTAGCATTTATCACTACCTCCTCCGTAACTGGTTACTTGTTTACTGTTTATCCGCTGCTCCCAGCACTAGATAAGGACCCTGCTTTCTCATCATTGCTGTATCCCCAGGGCAATGTGGGTACCACCAAATATTTGTTGAATGAATGAATAATTAGAATAGAAAGAGATATGTTTTATAGTTGGGGGAGCTGAGTGATTCCGTCACGTGCTAGCTGTGTGACTCTGCACTACGATAATATCCGTTCTAAAGTGGGGACAATGACAGCTCCTTCAGTGGCTCTGGGAGGGCCAGGGCAGCCTCTGGCGGGTGCGGTAGGCGGGGCCTCGGAGCTCTGCCTGCAGGACGGGCAAAGCCTCCTGTGGTATCTGAAATAACACTTGGGATTTGGAGTAGGGATTATTTCAAATATCCACGAAGAGTTGTATGAGCTCATGAATGTGGCATGTGTAAGAATGGAAGACCCCGCCAAACAGAAGGAGGAGATGGGTTCACATCTCAGGATCCCACAGACATAAGCGGGGCGGGGACTGGAGAGAGAGACAGGCAGGTAGGAGAGAACCGCTGAAAGAAGTGTGGGGTGGCGGTGGGGGAGGCCCAGCAGGGCCTGTCCCTCTGCAATCCGTGCTCCTCCCGACCCCCCTCTGAGCCCCTCCTCGATGGCGCAGCCCAGCGGTGGTGCTGGCACCCTCCACCTGCCCCTACCTGGCCTGTCCTCCATGAGTATGGGGTCTGTGGGCATGGACGGTTGCCCTGGACCCGCTGAATTCACAGCCTGCACCTGGAACACATAACTCTTCCCCGGCTGCAAGTCCGAGATCTGGGGGTGGGGGTGGGGGGAGGAGGCGAGAGTGAGCACCGAGGACAGCAAAGACCACCCTTCCCGAATCCCTGGCCATGGGGTGCTGGAACCACGCATCTGTGGAACCCCAGGGAGGCTCGGGCTGCCTGGGGGTGGGGACGGGCGAGGAGCACACTGCTCTCCCGATTCCAGTTTTCAGTAGGTCTCCCCTGGGATTGTCTTCGTGCCTGTGGCACCTGAAACTCCATCAGCTCGGAGCTTAACTCATCATCCATTCCCAATGGGAAAACCCTCTCCCTTGCTGCACCCCGTCTCTCCTCCATTTGTCCCCGCAGGGAGAAGCCTGGGGACCACCTTCGCCATCTGTTTTTAAGCCCTCCACATGCGGTCACCAAGTTCCCCCTTTACTTCCCTGACATTTCTGGAGTGTGGCCGCTGCTCTCCATGTGGCAGCCACGACCTCCACCGAAGCTTTCTTCCCCCTCGCCTCCTCTCTGTGTGCCCTCCACGCCATGACTCCCTCAGGGACCCCGCGGTTACCACGTGGCTCCCTGCCTTTGCCTCTGCTGAGCCTTCTGCCCGAAACGCGCCCGAGCCCTTCCCCAACTCATCCTTGACTTCCAGCTCGGGCGGCCGCAAGGGTTCCAGGACAGTCCCCGACCTTCCCCTTAGAGCTCCCGGAGCCCCTCCGACGCCCCTCCACTGTACAATGCACGGTCTTGTAATCGCCTGTTCCCCAAGGACGGCCACGTGGAAGACCTGGCTCCAGATCTGGCACTAAGTAGGTGTCAAGAAGTATTTAGTGAATGACTGAGTAAATGCCAGCCAATCATCCACAAGCAGAAATAGTGCCAAGTCACCAAGCCTGCCCCGCCCTGGCCTGGGCCACCTCCATGGCGGGGCAGAGAGACCATCTGTCTCCACTGGCTGTCTCAGGCAGCTGCCCAGCCCTGGCCTACTCTCCGCAGGGAGCTGGCCCGCGGAGGTGGCGGCTGCAGAATCTCAGCGCATGCCACCGGCCGAGGCGGTGTGAGAATCCGTTCGACTTTAAGTGCACATAACCCATGCAGAAACATGGCCTGCGCCGTATTCCGTTTTTGTTTGTTTGTTTGTTTGTTTTTATCCTCACCCGAGGACATTTTTGCATTTATCTTCAGATAGAGCAGGAGGGAGAGAGGGAAGAAGAGAGAGAAAGAAACATCGATGTGAGAGAGACACATCGACTGGTTGCCACCCACATGACCCCAACTGGGGTTGGGGACAAACTGCAACCGGAGGTACGTGCCCTTAGCGGGAACTGAACCTGCGACTCTCTGGACCAAAAGCCGACGCTCTAAGGGCTGAGCCAAACAGGCCAGGGCCACGGTGACTTCTTTAAGCAAACCCCTTGATGCATATTTACATTTTTTATGACTTTTGACTTTAAAAAATATGCAACAATGAGCATCCTTGTCCTTAGAACTTTGCACACTTGCTTAATTATTTCTCTACAACTCAATCCTTGAAGTAGAGTTCCTGGTTTCAGGGACGAGCATGTCCAAATGCTGATCTACCTCGCCGATTAGAAGTGAGTTTTTAGGGAAGAGCCTGCTCAGAGTGGAGCAGGTGAGTCTACCAGCCGGCCAAACCTACTACCAGTTCGCTGGGTAAGCTGCCCCCTCTGCTCCTCTGCTACCCCGAAGGTCCTCCCAGCTCTGATGCTCTGTAGTCCTGCCATGTCCAGGGGCAGGAAAGCTCAGGGTGGGCCGGAGGATGAAGGCACAGGGACTCACCCTCAGGTGGGTGCCAGAGATGGGGTCTGGGGTGACTGGCTTCCACTGCTCAGAGCCTTCCTCCTGGAAACTGATGCAGTAGCCTGTGACTGGCCCGGCCCCCGTGTAGAGTGGGGGCTCCCACTTCAGCATCAGGGAGGTGGCCCGCACCTCGAATGCCCGCACGTCATATGGGGGACCTGTGGGGATGGGGTAGAGAAGGAGCTGGGCAGATAGGCCACCTGCCAGACAGCCAAATGGCCAGCCAGACAGCCAGGTAATGAGCTGGGTGGTCAGTCCGCAAGCTTGTCCATCTGTCAGTCACAACCAAGCCTGGAAGCACCTGTTCTGGGCATAGTGGGGACCTCGCTGGCCTTGGCATCATGACAGTCTTGGTCTGGTCCTGAAATAGGGTTAGATCCTCCCATCCCCACGCCAGACAGAGGAATCCTTCCAGTGTCTTTGATGTTTCAGTGCCTAATGGAGGAGCTACGGGTGTGACCTCCAGAGTCATCACCAGGGCTCATGTCCCGGCTCTACCCTGAGGCTGTGGAGACTCTAGGTAACTTACTTAGCCTCCATATTCCTGTTTTCTCATCTGTAAAATGGGGATAATAATAGTTCCTATAATACAGTGCAGTTGTGAGCATTAATGACATAATTTATGGAAAGTGTAGTTATATAGTAAATACCCTGTAAATATTAGTTGTTTATAATTACTGACTAAAGCATCACACATACTAATTTCCTGCCATTCTGGTTTTGTGTAGAAAACAGAACTGAGCTGAACAGAATGATGGAGGGTTGTGATGCTTCCTTCCTCGGGGGAGGTGAGGGGCTGTGGGAGCCGGGTGTAGGGTGATCAGCCCCCCTTGTTGTCCAGGACTTGCAGCTGTAAAACCAAACTGGGACAAGCTGGTCGCCCTAGCAATGTAACTTTGGGGTTTGAGATTAATCTGAGGCTGGAATCTGATATCGGAGGATGTGTTGAGCTAGAGGACAGTGTATGCTGGGACCAGTTGATGGTCAAAGTTAGGGGTCCCCTAAGGCAGGGTTAAGACTATGTGTCAGAGATCACAGGGTCCGAGGGGGAAGGGGCCAGGGGTCTGGTGTCTGGAACAACAGAACAGACGTGAATGCACAGAGAACTCGTCAGTAGTCATGACATCGGTAGCTTTGGGGGGGTGCGGAAGTCTAGGCTGCCCGGGCTCTCACCTGGCTGGGGCATCGTCCACTCTTTGCACTCAAACAGGCTGCTGGGCGCCGACAGCTCGCCGACACCTGCCCAGTTTGTGGCCCGGGCACGGAACTCATAGAAGTGGCCCTCACGAAGGTTGCTGACCTTGAGGAGCAGAAACACAGACTGAAAACTGAGGCTGGAGAGAAAGGAGCAGAGGTGCAGCAGCGGGAGGTGGGGGTTGGGGGTGGGGGGAGGAAGTCTACGGGGGCTTTAAACAAGACTGGCCAAGTGGGTCTGCATTTGAAAGTCAGCTGGAGTGTGGAAGCCAGGGAGCCTGAGGCCCCTCTCGGCCTCAGAACCTCCCACAGGGGTTCCCCCATACCAGTCAGGACTGCAGGTGGGTGGCCACATTCCAGCCTTACCTTGCAGACCTGGGTGGGGACAGGCTGCTGGTTGACCTGGTGCCAGTCCAGCTCCTCTGAGTCGTGCTGGTCCAGGAAGTAGCCCAGGATCTTGCTACCTCCACGACGCTTGGGAGGTTTCCACCCAATGACCATGTCATTTTTGCCACAGTTCAGGAGGATGAAATCATATGGGGCAGAAGGTGTAGCTACAGGGAGGCAAGGAGGTGAGGCCAGGGGCACTGGGGGCTGCGGGAACCATCAAGCCTCCCCAGTGGGCGCCCACCCGGCTCCAGGGGTACTACGTTAGCCAGAGGTGCCTTCTGTAACCTTGACGTTGCCCTGGGAGGGCACCTGGTCAGGCTTCACTGCATGGCCTTAGGCCACTGTTACCTCCCTCCCAAAGGAAGGGTGGTCAGGGAGGGGATGCTCTGCTCCCCTCAGGGGGCTTATCCCCATTGGCCTCTGGGATTGGACCCTCCAAGATGTGGTTTGCAAGTCCCTGGTCTCTGCCCAGCCCAGAGCTGCCCCCAGACTCTGGCAGGCTGGACCTGCCCCTTGGACTTACCCAGAGCCTGCTTGACCCTGATGGGTTCGGTGGCCGCTGAACTGTCACCTACCCCAGCCTCGCTGACTGATCTGATGCAAAATTCATACTCTTTCCCCGTCCTTAGCCCGGGAATTGTAAACCTGGGAGAGAGATGTGCAGCATTCAGGGATGGCCAAACAGCTCGCGGACATCCTGAACTTTCTAGAACAACCCTGTGGGATAAGTGGTAACTAGTGCGGTGGGATTTGAGGGTTCTGGGCCAGTTCTTACCTAGAAATACTGCCCTTGCCCCAAAGTGATGCGTACACCTGGGGGGTGAAGTCCTTAAAAATTTAAAGGTCGGACGAAGGTGGTCCAAACGCACATACTTCCAGTTAGAAGATCAGTAAGTACTGGGATGTCACGTGCAACATGATGGCTACAGTTACCTCTGGTGCTGGACAGACGGGAAAGTTGTTAAGGGTGTGGAACCTGACAGTTCTCATCACGAGAAGAAATTGTGTTTCTTTTCTTTCTTTTTTTTTATCCTCACCTGAGTACATTTTTGCATTTATCTTCAGATAGAGTGGGAGGGAGAGAAGGAGGAAGAGAGAGAGAGAGAGAGAGAGAGAGAGAGACACACACATTGATGTGAGAGAGACACATCGACTGGTTGCCAACCACGTGACCCCAACCAGGGCCAGGGACAAACTGCAACCGAGGTACGTGCCCTTAGCAGGAGCCGAATCTGGGACTCTCTAGTCCACGGGCTGGTGCTCTAACCACTTAGCAAACCGGCCAGGGCTGTCTTTCTTTTCTTATCATTGTATCTATATGGGATCGTGGATGTTGACTAAACCTATTATGGTCATCATTTCCCAGTATATGTAACTCAAACCATCATGATACAGTGATGCATGTCAATTGTTTCTCAAAAAAAACCCAGAAAAAAATGATTTTAAAAGCTGTGACTCTTCTTGAGCCCACCGTCAAAATACAAACATGCTGGGAAAAATACCAACTGGAGGCCCAGGGAGCCAAGCCCGGAACTGTTACCTCGCACATCTCCAGGACCTCGGGCCGTGTCCTGGAAACACAAGTGACTGTTATGAGCTGTGATTCTAAAACACGGAGTCCCTTTACAGACCTCAAAGAGGACTGTCATCCAGAGTCACAGACTTTGGGGGAAAACGTCCTTCTCATGCTGCCCCTTCTTTTTTTTAATCCTCACCCGAGGACATTTTTCCATCTTTTGTACAGATAGAGTGGGAGGGAGAGAGAGAGAGAAACATCGACGTGAAAAGGACACATCGAGTGGCTGCCACCCGCACGACCAACCAGGGCCGGGGACAAACTGCAACCAAAGTACGTGCCCTTAGCGGGAACCAAACCCGGGTCTCTCCGGACCGCAGGCCGACGCTCTAACCGCTGAGCCAAACCGGCCAGGGCTCATGCTGTCCCTTCTTGATAAAACCCAAACTGTGGACCTCTTTCTCCCATATCAACACTTTCCTGTAGCAAATCTTATCCTACAGGGAGTTTGACCTCGAGGAGCCCCAAGGACTTAAATCGGGTGTTGATGGCCGACACAGCATCAGGTCCCCTGCTCAGGGACACGCATATCTAATGACGACACGCGTGAGAAGAACGAGCGCTGAAGGGAAGGCGCCGGGCTGGAGCGACGCCGGTGCCGACAGTGGACAGCAAGGACGATACTGTGCACTTGTCTAGCACTCGGTTGCTGTCGAAACTCAAGGCACTCGGAACACCCTCTGCAGAAGGCACGGTTGTTACTTGCCCCTTTTTGGAGAAGCTGAATGTTGGAGGGGCCCTTATGGATCAAACTGTCCAGTTTCTTCGTTTTCTAGGCCAGAGACGTCCCCCAGAAGGAAGGAGGCGTGCCAAGAGCACACAGCCTGTTGGGAACACAGCTGGACCGGAGCCCGGGTCTCCCGAGTCCCAGCACAGCGCCATTGTATCCACCCCTCCGCTCACTCAGACGTTGTGTGAGCATCTCCTGTAAGCCAGGTTCTGTGGGGCCCAGCAACATGGCACTGCACTGACCACCACGGCCCCACTGAGCTAACTTTTTTTTTAATCCTCACCCAAGGAAACTTTTCCCATTTATCTTCAGACAGAATGGGAGGGGGCGAGAGAGAGAGAAACATCAACATGAGAGAGACACATTGATTGGTTGCCTCCCGCATGACCTCAACCAGGGTGGGCAATTGAACCGCAACCGAGGTACGTGCCCTTAACCGGAATTGAACCTGCGACTCTTTGGTCCACGGGCTGATGTTCTAACTGCTGAGCCAAACTGGCCAGGGCTGAGCTGCCTTTATGGTATCACCCTAGGCAGCTCTCCTGGGCAGTGGTGTTTTAGCCTCTTTCCAGCTATGACACATGTAACTGATGGCATGCACATGTATGATGAGTTCTCTAGGCAGAGCAGAGGAGCGTGCCAACCCCCACTGTGTGACACGTTCCCCAGGCATGTCACACCCTTCATGTGACTCTCCGTCAAGCTGTGCCCCTTCTCTGGGAAGTACACTCAATGCAAGTAGGGGGAGAAATGTTATTCTAGAGATAATCTGGACTCTGAGCTCATTTGTCAAAATCCCGACTTTCCTCCAATGTGGAACTTTGGCCCTAACAATTATGGGTGACCTCCCGCGGCTGACAGTGAGGCATGAAAACCAGAGGGACACAAGTTCCTGTCGTCGCTTTTTCTGGATAAGGTGATCTCAGAGCTTGTGGCCCAAGGTGAGGGGGCCCAGCCAGGGTGCTCAGGGCCTGCCCAGTCCTCCGATGGAAAGGAAGGAGAGGGGTGTCACCACCTGAGCCCCTTATCCCACAGAGCCTCAAAACAGAGAAGTCAGGAGCCCAGAGGCCTCAAGGCTCACCGCGCCTTCAAGGACCAGGGCCTCCGAGTGAGGACGGAGCCCGGAGGGAGTGGGGTTGGAAACGCAGGAGGCCTGGAGCCTGAACTGAGGCTCAGAGAGGGCGAGTCTCTGCGCAAGGGCACTAGGAAAGGGCCGGTGGGTGCAGAGTCTGAACCCAGGCTTCCCTGGTGCGGACGCCACTGGCTGCCCTCACCCTCTGCCTCTCTGTATCTCTAAGCTCCTGGACAGATGTGACGGAACTCGTCACCTCCATCTGCAGACAGGACGCCTTCAGCAAGTAGTTGCTGAAAAAAGACCATCTGGGTCAAGTCCCAGTTCCTCCACTTATTAGCAAAGGGAGTTTGGGCAAGTTACTTAACCACTCTGTGCCTCAGTTTCTTCATGTGTACAATGGCAGTAGAAATATTAGTCCTAAGGTCATACGATTGCAGTTAGAACTAAATGACCTAATATACAAAAGAACTTAGAACAGTGCCCAGTGCCCAGTGCCATGTTGTGAAATGGTGGGCGTCATTAATATCATGGCCCCTCCTTGGAGGATGCCCGGGTGCAGGGAGGGGTGGGGCAAACTCACTTGGTGCCCTGGATGGGTTTGTTGTTAACTGTTTGCCACTCGGGTGATCCTGCCTCCCGGGAGTAGATGTAATAACCCAGGAGCTCCGGGCCTTCTCTGACAGGATCCCAGGTCAGAGAGACAGAGGTCTGCGTGTCTCGGAAAGCTTGAACTTGAGCCGGAGGAGGGAGAGTAGCTAGAAAACAGAAACAGGGCTGAGTAAGGATGCTGAGTTTTCGGGCACTAACACACTGGGGAGGGGCGGGGGTGGAGAGAGACAGGGAGGAGCCCCTACAGCAATCAAGGGTGGCCTGTGGATTCCAGATGTGCCCTGGGGCTTCACTATTTCCTGGTCCCGGAGGTGTGCCCCAGGCTCTTGTGTTCTAAAGGTCCTCCCCCCTCTTATCTCCAAACACCTCCGCTTCCTCACTAAAGCTCCCATTCATTAATCCTCATCATCTCTCTCTCTCACTTAGACTCACCAAATCTGTAGTTTTCCTCAGTGTTTATCTTCAGTCTCTAGAAAACTTGATTTTCTTTCCTTGAAATGTCTCTATTGACTTTCATGGTTCCCTGAGACTAAACTCCTTTAGGTAGAGACTGCCATGATTTGTTAAATGGACAGATGGATGGATGGATGAATGGATGGAAAGAAGGATGGATGAGTGAATGGATAGATGGATGGATGAATGGATGGATAGATGGATGGATGAATGGATGGAAAGAAGGATGGATGAATGAATGGATAGAAGGATGGATGAATGGATGGATGGATGAAAGAATAGATGAATGGATGAATGAATGCATGGCAGGTGTAGTAACTTACCTTCTCTTTCTACTTTTCAAACTCCTTATATATCTTTTGGTGGCTTCCCATCTTTTTCTGTCCCCAAATATGGGACTCCTGAAAATTCTGCTCCTTGACTTGCTATATTTTTCTCCTCTCCCCCCATCTTAAGGGTCCATCTATTCCCATGTCTTCAACCCTCGCCGCTCCGCAGGTGACCCCCAGCCTTTAACTTCAGCCCTGCCCTCTTCCCTGAGTCCTACAGCTCATCTTCCATTCCCCCCAGACACTTCTCCTTGTGTTCTGGTGGTGCCTCAAAGTCAACAGGAAAAGGCTGAACTCAGCATCCATCCAACAGACCCAGCATTTATCGAGTGCCTACTCTGAGCGCCTCTGCACTCGGCACGGGGAGGCCCCGGGAGATGGACGCGAGGTCCTGGGCACAGGAAGGTCCTGTCGGCAACTTCCGCCTCTTGGGTTGGAGACAGTGTGGCTGGATGAAGGTTGGGTGGAGGGAGAGGCTGGAAGGAGGCCGTTCAGGGGCCCCACGTGCCCAAGAGACCTGATTCTACCTGAGGGCAAGAACTGGAGCTGAGGGTATCCATGGAATGGAGTAGTTCTCAGACATGAAAATCACGATTTCAGGGAGGATTTCATGACCCGAGGAAATGTTTGCGATCTAACGTTAATTTTTAAAAGTAGAATGCAAAGTTCTATATATGGTTTAATTGTACTTTTAAAAAGATGCAGTAATATGTGTGAGGTCAAAAGGCCAGAAACCCAGGCACCCAGATGATCACAGTGGTTACTCCTGGGCAGTGGAATCATGTTGAGGGGCATTCTTTTCTCTCTCTCTTTCTCCTTCCTTCCTTCCTTCCTTCCTTCCTTCCTTCCTTCCTTCCTTCCTTCCTTCCTTCCTTCCCTCCTTCCCTCCTTCCTTCCTTCCCTCCTCTCTAACTCTTTTGCTTCTTTTTTTCTCATTTCAACATAATTTTACTTTTGGAATATGAGTAAATACCTTTTCTTTTTCCTACCCTCTTCTCCCATCCCCTCCTCTCTGATCTTTCTTCTCCCTTCCTTTTTGGAATTAAAAAAAGTTTTTTTTTAAATTGATTTGAGAGAGAGAGAGAGAGAGAAACTGCTTGGTTGCCTCCTGCACGCATCCTGACTGGGAATGGAACCCGCCACCTTCTGGTGCATGGAACAATACTCCAACCAACTGAGCCCATGGGCCAGGGTAGAACTTTGCCCTAAGGCTGGCTTGTGGTCCAGAGATAGCGCACATCCAGTCACAAGCCATTCACTGGCCAGTCCCCAAATCAAGCCTAAGTGTTCCCTGGACCAGAGTTAAGTAGAAATACCTTGCCCACCAGTGCATCACACTTACTGTGAACATGCATGTTCGTTTGGCAGGTGAGGACACAGGTTTGAGCTCTGAAATGACTTGCCCAGGCCCATGCTGTGCTGAAGATGAGTGGTGTCCTCCAGGCGAGCCAGGGCTCGGGGTGGGGGTGGGGGGCTGGGGATAGCTTAGCCCCAGCCATGGAGGGGGCAGGAGGCCGGCTCAGGAGGCAGAAGTGGGTGCTGGTTGGAGACATTTAGAACTAAAAGACTGGGTCACACTCAGCAGCAATGCTGGACCAGCCGGGTTCTGCGAGCTGTGAATTGTTGTTATGGAGAAAACATGTCTTCCGTGAGCCTCCTTCCTAGAGAAATGTGATTTCTGATGGCCTAACACCGCAGGCCTGAGATCATACTGCTTTTCTGCTTCATGGTGGATAGAAGTGGCTAGGGAAATGGGCACAGCTTTGTCCCTGTGGCCCTAGGGTCTGACAGCCCCCTGGCCTGGCCTGGCCTGCCCCCTCCTTGGAATCACACGGGTACCTGGCTTCCCCCTCAAGGCGATGGGCTCACTGGGCTCCGAGGGGTCGCTCATGCCATATTGGTTCATCGCTCGCACTCTGAAGACATACGACTTCCCTTTCTCCAGATCCAAAAGCGCGAATTTCAGGGATTGCACAGGATTTTCAGTTCTGATGGCCTCCCAGGTGCCACTACCTATGACTGACTGTGACAAAAAAGAGAAACTCACGCTGGATAAGCAGTTGCCTGAGGCTGGCTCGGTGCTGGCCACTTCCCACACCTGCTCTCACCAACTCTTATCCCGGCCAAGGCTGCCCGTGAACACCGAGCTCTGGGTCGCCTGCCTCCTCGCCCTCTCTACCTGGATGCCTACTGAGCAGCGCACGTTCAGTGGTCTAGAGCTCGACCCTGGAGCCTGCCCCGCACCAAAGCTGCCCACACTGAGTTAGTGGCACCCATCCTTCCTCTTGCTCAGGCCCAAACCTTGGAGCGATCTGGACTCTTTCCCTCTTTCCTGCACACCCCAAATATGCTCCAGCCACACATGCAGTTGGCTCTACCTTCAAAATGTACCCAGAATCTGACCATGACTTACCACCCTAGCATCTCCGCCACAGCCTTGACCGAAGCCACCACTGTCTCTCATCTGAGTTATTTTAATACCTCCTAACCGGTCTGCCTGTTTCTACCTTTAACTCCCATCAGTCCTTCCCCCTCCAGATGATAGTCTGAGGGACCCTTTTACTGCAGGTCAGATCATGTCCTGGTCTGTTCAGCCCCTCCCAAGCCCCACATCTTCCTTAGAGCGAAAGCCTGGCAGGTTTCCTTTAGGCCGCCATTGAAAACTCACCTTCTTGGGGTGCTCTCCCCAGCCCTTCCATCTAGAATGTCAGCAGCCCCTCCCCTCAACACTTCCAATCCCCTCCCTGCTTTATGTCTTTCTCCTTAGTGCTACCACGAACTGACGTGCTAACTATGTCACTCATGTATCTCGTCCGTCCTCGGTCTCCATCCCTTCCTCCAGCGTGGGTTCCAGAGGCAGGGATTCCTGTCCATACCCAGGGCCAGGCACGGCACCGGCAGCGGAGGTGCTCAGCCTATGTTTGTGGGACCAATAAATGAGTGAATGGATGGATTCTCACAATAGCCCTTCTAGGTAGGTGTTAGTTTCCCACGGATGGGGAAGCACGGGTTTAGGGAGTTTGGTAACTTGGCAGAAAGTCATGCATCTAATATTTGGGATTTCCGAGGTGTGAGTGCCCCCAAGCCTGCGCACTCTCCACATGCCAGGGGCCCCAAAGGCAGCCATAAAGTCTGCGTGTCTGGGCAGATAGATGGTGAAGAGCTAAAGGTGATGTGGGCCAGGGGGGCACGCAGAGGCCACTTCTGCTGAGTCTGGGTATGAGGCTTAAGACCTAGAAGCACCAGGGGACCCAATGACCCCCTTCCCTGTGCCCCCCCCCCCCCCAGGCTCACCTGGCTACCAGTGGCCCAGAGCCCAAGAAATCATTTTAAAACCCAATGAACGTTACTGAACACCAGTTGTGTGCTGGATTCTGTTCTAAGTCTTACGTGCTTTAATTAATTTGATCCTCATATTGACCCTGTAAGGCGTGAATGATTATTATCTCTGTCGTACCGAAGAAACGGAGGCACAGAGAGACTCAATACACCGTCCAAGGTCACACAGCCAGTAAGTAGCAGAGATAAGATGTGAACCCAGCAGTCTGGACCCAAGTCTGAGCCGCTGTATTCTGCAGCCTCACAGCCTCAGTCGTTTTGGCTTTCCTGGTGGCAGAGCTAGATCCCTGCGAGTGTGCAGAGGCCCCTTTGGGCAACCGGAGCCAGAGATGCCGCCCTGGAATCTTTACTCATTGACCACTGACCCTGCACTGTCCACCTACTATGTGCCAGGTCAAGGGCATCCTTGGGAAGTGTTTACAGCCCAGGGCTGCCGGCCCTGGCTGAGTGCTGCGTCTTATTTCACCCTCACGGGGCAGGTTGTCCAGTCTATGCCGGAGGAAACTGCGGCTCAGAGAAGCCGGGCAACCGGCTCACACAGCAGAAGGCTGGATCGGAAGATCTTAACGCCATGCTGTCTTTCTCCTCTGCGAAATGCACTCCACGTAGCTGCCTCCTCCCCAGACACGTGCCCCCACTCTGTCCCCCGTGAGAACTGCCTCCTAGTACACCACTTGCCCTATGCCCCGTGAGGCTGCCTGTCATGACTCTGGCTGCTGGGGACCAGCCTAGCTTCCCCCCATCATGGCTCTGGCCAAGAAGACGTGCAAGACCCAATGCATGGCCTGAGGCCAGCCAGACTTGGGGGCGGGGAGGGACCCCGAATAGTGGATCTTACTGTTATTATTAATAACAACTGTTGTTGTTATTATTTGTGTCTCTTGATTTTGTGTATTTTGAGGAACAGCCTCAAGCACGGCCATCAGAAACTGGCCTCGCAGGGCTGGAGGAAACCTCGGAGGTCACTTAGTCCATCCCCTGCTTCTGTGAGCTCTCCTGTGCTCTGCAGGCCGCCCGGGGGCATTGCCTTGCCCGGGTCTCTCAGGCCTTCCCTGAGCTCCCCACGCCCCGGTCCCACAGCAGGTCCGTTCCTCAGGCCAGCCTGGGGCTAGGGCCTTGGGTCTCCGTACCTTCTCCAGGGAGTATGTCAGTGGAGCTCTGCCCCGGGGTTTCGGCTCCTCCCAGCTCAGAACTGCGTAGGCCTCACGGACCTCGCTGGCATGGACGCTGGTCGGGGGTGAGGGGATGGTCACGAAGTCTGGAACCAGAGCATCCAGAGCTGAGATGAGCGGACCTTCAGTGACTCCTAATCTCAGTCCCTCACTTCACAGAGGAGAAAACTGGAGTCCAGAGAGGGGCAGGAACTTGCTCCAGGTCACCCAGCAACTCTGGGCAGAGCAGGGGCCAGACGCAGGCCTCCCGCGGTCCTGCCCTCCTCCACGAGGCCACAAGCCCCTGAGAACTCTGGCTCCTCCAGCTAGACCCGCCCACCCCAGCCTCCCACCCTGGGCACGGACAGCTTTCTGCTCTTTACCAGTTTCCAGAACCATAGAGGGGGCTGGAGTCTCGAGGCAAAGTGTCAGGAGGTTCACACGTACCTTCAAGGTCATCTGTGCTGACCATGATCTTGCTTCCCAGGTCAAAGGGAATCTCTGGGATGGAGAACGGAGCAAGTTAGGGGAGAAGGAAGGGGGCAGGGTGTGTGGGGCTGGGTCAGGAGGGGCAGGGCAGGGCCTGCTCTGCTCTGTGCTGCTGATTCCCCGCCCTGTTCCTGGCCTTGGCCTTTCGGCCCCCCACTGTGTGACCCCCGGCAGGTCCTCTCTGGGCCCCAGGATTCTCAGGGATCCCAACTGCTGCTCTAGACCTTGAGTGATGCTTTGTCCTCTTGGGACAAATGAGGACAGAGAGGAGAGGTGCTGTGCCTGGGTGGTGCCTAGGGCATGGTGAGGCTGGGAGGCGAACCTGGCCGTGGACTCCTTGGGGCTGGGAGGCTGTGCTGACCCTCCCCCCGGGGCTCCTGAGGCAGGGCTGTTCTCCCCCTTCAGATTAAGAGCCTCCGTGGAGGTGCTGGGGTGTTCCCTCTGTGGACAGGTTTGTGTTTCTTCCATCAAACTACCTGTACCTTCCCCCTCAGGCCAGAGGTTCCCGAGGGCGGTACTGTGTTTCCTCCAACAGACCAGAGGTTCCTGAGGCCGTGTCTCTTCCATCAGATTAGGGATTCCTGAGAGCTGGCTGTGACTCTCCGCTTGGAATAGGGCTTGGGATGGGGCGGGGCCACCTGTCCCCTGTGTGAGCCAGTCCTGAGTGTGCCTGACTGATGCTCCAGACTGTCCCACCAGGGCCTTGGAACCCACCTGTCTTCCTCTGGGCTGCATCACGGTCACTCATGACAACCGGCTCTGAGGCCTTGGAGGGGAGGCTGCTGCCCGCCTTGTTGATGGCTCTCACCCGGAACCTGTAGCTCTGGCCTTTGACGAGGCCTTGGATTGGGCACCGACAGGTCCCGCCGGGGGCCTCGTGGCAGGGCACCCATTGCCCAGACTCGCCCTGGCACCTGTGGGAGAGACACCCCAGCTTCAGCCCCTGCCCATGACTCACCCATCCCAGTTAGAGCCTCTACCGGGCCGTCTGCCCGGCCTGGGCTGCCTGCCCACTTGGTCTCAGCCAATTGAAGTCCTGCTTTCCATTTAAAAGCCTGGCTCCAACCTGGGGCCCGGGAGGCTGGGGGTCATCCTCCACCTCCTGCGATGGAGCTTTCCTGAGAGCCGAGAGCTGTACCGCACCCTTCACATCCATGGTCTCATTTAATCCCGACCGTGCCTGGAGGCAGGCGTGATTACCTCACGCTCCACCCGGGGCCCACAGCTCAGAGTGAGATGACTTGCCCAAGGTCACACAGCATGGGTTAGGATTTCACCCAAGGGCTGTCCACTCCCTAAGTCGGTGTGCACTCCACACTGACTCTCAGTCTGGGCTCTCTGAGCACTCGGGGTGCCACTGTCCCCAGGTCATATTGCAGCTCACATTACGGGCGGGATGGGGCAGTGGTCACACGTGGTCCAAATCCTGACTCCACCACTAGGGGGCGATGTGACTTTGGGCAGCCGTCGCCCCGTGATCCCAGTTTCCTCATCCACAGGAAGGGGGTTGTTGGAGGAGGACATAGTCTTCCAGCCCCGTCAGTGACAAGATTGTGTCACCTCAAGCTTGGGCCTCTGAGCTGGCAGCACTGCCCTTCCTGGGTGCCCCTCCCTCTGGGGTCACAGCTACTCCATCCCTCCTGTCACTCAGGGAGGAGAGCAGTCAACAAGTGCACCTGTGCTGGGGTTTCAGGCCCAGCGTTGGCTCCTGCTGGGAACAGTCCAGAGGGCAGTGGCTGACGCCAGTGGTGGAACCCGGGTGTCGGTGAACACCCTTTTATTGTCCCTGCAGTGTGCAGCACAGCTGACCTCTGCCCTGACGTGAGACGAGGCATGGGGCTCCCTCTTTCCTGTGGCCCTCACTCTTGTCCTCACAACCAGGCGGACGGCTGCCCGCCCCACTCCTGGTGACCCTGCCCCTCGGGCTGACTCACCGCTCGATGGAGTAGCCGGTGACCGGGCTGCCCCGAGTGTCACTGGGCGGGACCCAGGTCAGAATGAGGCAGTCTCTGTTCACATCCAGGCATAGGACATTCAGTGGGGAGCCTGGGGCCCCTGGCTTCTCTGCTGCAGCATCTGAAACCCGGGTGCGGGTGGGGACGGGTGGGAGGCTCGTCAGCCCGAGTCCACTGTGCGCCTGCTCCTTCCCTGCACCCGCTTCTCATGAACCCCCCAGGGACTCAGCTGCGACCTTGAAGACCAGACCTGTCCACAGTGTCCTAAACAACAGCATCTAGGGTGGTGGGAGCACCGTCTATCAGGGGCCCCCTCTACACCACACACTTGAACAATGGGCATAATTTATCTCTAAGCTTCAGAACAAGTCTCCATTTTGTAGGTGGGAAAACTGAGTCTCACAGAGGAAAAGTGACTTGTGTACGGTCACCCCACAGGGGAGTGGCAAAGCCCAGAGGCAGAAATGACAGGGGCTGGAATCACATACCATCCCGAGCTCAGCCTTCCCCCGCCAGCGTCCACCCAGGCTGACTGTCGGGTTGTATTCTTTGGAGGGTCACAGAAGGCCACGGAGGTTCTTAGACTCTAACCCAACACCCCATTTATAGCAGGGAAACTGAAGCCCCCAAGCAGCAGGGGACTTGCTGAAGGTCCCACAGCAAATCAGTCAAGGGCAGAGCCCTGGTCTGGGCCTCAGCGGTCCCCTGGCCCCCACCTCTCACAAACACGTAGGTGCTCTGCTCCCGGGGCCCAAAGGGCGAAGACACCCGGACTGTGTAGAGCCCCTCGTCCTCCTTGTGGGCGCTGGACACCTTCAGGGACGCCTGGCGGTCAGCGTAGAGTGTCTGTCGGCGTGCTGAGGACCTCATTAGCTTCCCTGATAAAGAGAGGGGTCCAGTGTGAGCTCATGGGGGCTCCTGGCCTCACCTGAGAACCTACGGGTGCTCTGGGGGTCAAGGCAGAGGTGCAGCTGGCGTGGCCATAGCCTGAGGCTCAGCCTGAGAGTCAGGGAAGGGGTGGTGACCTTCACAGCTTTGCCAAGGTGGCTGCTGAACTCTCCAGAAGGCTTGGGGGTGGGGAAGGGCGAAGGGAAGGGGTTGGGACCTCCACCAGATTTAGGGAAATGGTGGGGTTGGGGGCTCAGTGAGCAGTTGGAGGTTCTGGGAGGAGGTGAGAGCAGGAGCTGGGCCTGTGTGAGGCTCTGGGCTCTGGGAGGAGGTGAGAGCAGGAGCTGGGCCCTGTGTGAGGCTCTGGGCTCTGGGAGGAGGTGAGAGCAGGAGCTGGGCCCTGTGTGAGGCTCTGGGCTCTGGGCTCTGGGAGGAGGTGAGAGCAGGAGCTGGGCCTGTGTGAGGCTCTGGGCTCTGGGAGGAGGTGAGAGCAGGAGCTGGGCCTGTGTGAGGCTCTGGGCTCTGGGAGGAGGTGAGAGCAGGAGCTGGGCCTGTGTGAGGCGCTGGGCTCTGGGAGGAGGTGAGAGCAGGAGCTGGGCCTGTGTGAGGCTCTGGGCTCTGGGAGGAGCTGGGGGCTCCAGCGATGGTGTGGGAGCTCAGTGAGGGGGACAATGACCTGAATGAAGGGAGAAAGGGCTGTTGATGGGGGCTCAGAAAGGGGTGGGGCTCATGGAGAGAGCTGGGTTGTCAGTGAGGAGGGTAGAGGCTCATTAAGGGTTAGGGGTCACGAAGGGGACTCAGTGGGTGGGAACTTAGGGAGAGGAACGGGGACTCCGTAAAGGAGGGGCTCTGGGACTCCGGAGGGGGTCCTCCCTGAGGCCACGCTGTGGGGCCGTCCTGCTCCTTGTCCCACTCGGAGGCACCTCCCTCCTGTCAGCACCTCTATTCTGGAAGGTCCAGTTTGGGAAAACATCTCAGACTTGTTATTGCAGCTGTTTCTCCGGGCTCCTGGCTTCTCCCTGCTCTGCCCGGCCCGTTGCGGCAGGTGCGGCCAGCCTGGGCTCAGAGCTGCGGTGCCGGGGCATGGCTGTACGCCTTGTCCTTTGGCTGCTGGCCTGCTCGGAGGGGCAGGAGGTCCAGCTGTCCTTCTCCCTGGCTGGGCCACCTCTTCCTGCCTCATCTGCCAACCTTCTCCAGCTTTGCCTGTGACACGCAGGGGTCTTCTGGCTCGTGGCCAGTAATTGCTCGCCCACAGCCTGACTCCAGCAAGTTCTATGCCACACCTGCCCCGACACTCCTCGTGCCGCTGCCCCTGGCCTTGGCCTCCTGTCCCCTTGCTTTGGATGCCATCACTCACTCTTAGGGTGCTGACGACGATCCTACAGGCGTGAAGGGCTGAGCCAGGGACCGACCACGGCAGGCTCAGTGGGCAGCGGCTACAGCGGCTTTGGCTTCCTCCCTCCTGCCAGACCCAGAGCCCTTTGGGCTCATTCATATTGGTGCCTCCCCTGCCCCGGCACCCAGCACAGGGCCTGACACAGTGGTGCTCGCTGACCATTTGATGTGAACCCACCTGGCGGCCCTCTGCCCCTTCAGCAGCCACAGCTCAGCTTGTACTAATTGGGGGGAGGAGCAGAGCTGAGTGTCTCTCTCCCCCGAGGGTCCCAGGGCTGGCGATGGAGCCAGGGCTCTAGCCCCCCTCTCTTCCACCTCTGCCTCCAAAGGCTGGGGACCAGGGCTGGGGGCCTTACCATCTCGGAACCACTGAATGTTTTCTTCAGCGTCTAATACAGCTTCCGAAAATAAGCAGGTCAGGGAGAAGGGTTCCTTCTCGCGGGCAAAGACTGGTTTTAGCACCGATGTGAATTCCACGCTGGGGCCGAACATCAGTCCTGGGTAGGGACAGACATTTAGGACAGAAGTCTTCTGAGGTCACCAGCCTAGCTTGGGGCTTAGGTGGGAACAGGGACCCTTCTGGGGCGTCCCCACTCCTCTGGGTCAGGAGTCACAGTTCCTGGGGTAGTCTTAACAAGGAGAAGGGCCTGGTCCTGGGGGTGGGGGCGGGGAAGAGATTTATCTAGGTGGGACCAGGTAAGCCAAAATAGCAACTCCCCAAAGGTCATGTCCATTTGTCTTTTTGGCCTTGCCTTTTCACTCAGTTTTGGCCACTGGGCAACTCAGCAGTTGCCTTGGGACCCCCAGAAACCAGTCTCGCAAATGCTAACAGTTCATAGGCAAACCCCACGTGGACATTCCTTAGTGGGCAATGGATGGCTATACTCAAGGGGGGCGGTGGGGAGCCCTGCCGAGAAGTCCAGAAGCCCTCCCCGCAAAGGCTCGCTCTTCCCCCGGCCTCTTACGTTTAAAGATCTCCGAGTCGAAGCCAGCATCCTTCCCCAGGTAAGCTGAAAACCAGAGCACATGGAGTTTGAGAAGGTGAGACTCACATTCCTGCTAGACTGTGGCAGCATGGCCCATGGGTGTGGGTTTGAGTCCTGCTCTGTTAGTGGCTCCCCTTTGGCTTTGGGAAAGTTCCTTCGCCACTCTGAGCCTCAGTTTCTACCTCAGTAAAATAGGGACCATGATTCCTACCTGATGGTGGTGGGGTTCTGAACAAGTGAATTCCCATGAACAGAGCCCTCAGCCAGAGCCCGAGTGCCTGGCAGTCAGTGCTCAGTAAATGGTGGTTTCCTTCCCCCGCCCAAACTCACCACCAGGACCACAGTCTTCAGAGAGTCCTCTAGAGCCAGAGCCGGTCAGACTGGGATTTCTCGTGGGGTCAGGGAAGGGACAGTGCTAAGGGAGCCACCTGGGGGCTCACAGGTGAAATCCAGAGATGCTGGCACAGAACACCAGAGAACAGCAAGATGCTTCTGAGCACGTAGTCAGTGCCATGTGCTGCTTATTAACTTGTTTAATCCTCACAGTGGGCCAGCCCAGTGGTGCCACTATAACCTCTCATGGGTGAGCACACTGAGGTAGAGTCACCCGACTAGCCTGAAGCTATCCCAGGACACTGGTCCCTGGAAAGAGGTCCAGGGGGCTGCCCAAGGTCCCACAGAGTCAGTGGAAGACTTGGGATTAGAACCCAGAGCTCCCGCCTCCCAGCCCAAGGCCTCCCACTGAGGGGCACCACCACTGCTGTGGAGACGAAAGCAGGGGTGGGGCGGAGAGATAGTGAGCGGATGGTCTTAGTAAGAACCGGGCTGCAGTCTGGGGCCCCAGAAGAAGCCTGGTGGATCCACAGTTGCTGGCCTGGATGGAGGGAGAAGCGGGGTCTGGAGGAAGTAAGGCGAAGGACAGGCAGTCAGAGGGGGCAGGGCCCCGATACCTGACCTTGGGCGTGACTCTGGCTCGAATGCCACACACAGAGCCTGGCCTGGCAGCAGGGAGAGCTGCCTCCAAGGGCTACTTGGGGCAGAGGGTGGAGAAGACTGGGAAGATGGTTTAACCAAGTCTGATAGCAAGTGGGGATGAGGGGCTGAACTCCAGCTGGTCTGCTGGCCAGGGAGTGTGTGTGTGCGCACGTGTGTGTGTGTGTGTGTGTGTGTGTGTGTGTGCACGTGCGTGTGCACACATGCACACATACTGCTTCTCTCTCATGGGTGCTGAGGTCAAGGTGTAGCATTTTCCTGGGCCCAGAGGTATGGCCTCGTGGGCTGTGCTCTGTCCTGGTCGTGGGGTGGGGGAGGGACAGTCTCACACAGACAAGCCTCGCCTGCACCACTTAATGCAATCGACAGAGTGAGGAGGTGGTGCGAGCCCCCTGCAGATGGAGAGGCTGCGGCGTGAAGCGGCTGCCCGGGCTCACAGCATGTGAACTGCGGGCTGCCTAACTCCTGAGCATCTCCCTGCTTTGTGCTGTGATTTCAGATGCCCTTGGGGGTACCCATTAGAGGCACAATTGGGAAATAGCACCAGGACCCAAATGGGGCAGTGGGGGTCAGAGGGAGTCGGCAGAGCTCGGCCTTTGCCCCTGAGGACCCCTCAGCAGGGCTGGCAGGGCCGGGCCGTTCTGCCAGAGGCCCGGAGCTGGACCTGGACCCGCGCCCACCCCGAGAGGGCAGCGCCCTTTGGAGGTAGCTGTACAGTTGTGCAGTCTGAGGCCAAGACCCTCACTTGCTCCACAGGCCCCAGGGAAGTGAGCGTCTCCATGGCTGCCCTGGTCGCCTGGTCCCAGGCCAACCACCCCTGTGCCAGGGCCCTTCTGGAGTCTGATGCAGGCTCACGTCCTTGCAGGCTCACGTCCTTGCAGGCTCATCCCAGTCTGCTGTGCGCCGGCCTGGCCTGCGGGGGCGGGAGGACTTACTGCGGACCAGGACTTTGGCGAAGGAGGAGGCCTGGCCGTAGGCGTTCTTCGCCTTCACCATGTAGGTGGCTGAGTCCTCCACGGTGCATCTGGGAAGGAGAGCGGGAGAAGTGTCCCAGACTGCTGGGCTCCATGGGACACTCAAGTCCCCACATGTGGCGGGAAAGGCGGGGAGTAACTGGACGGCCTCTGGCTCAGGCTCCACCTCTGAAAGGCTGGCCACGCCCCTCTCTATGCCTCAGTGTCCCCCTCCGAAATATTGGGGTAAGACAGTAGCCTAACCCACCTCAGGTGGACATACTCTGAAAACGATTGGTATTACTGCAGGATTAGAGAGGTTAAGTGCCTTGCCCAGAGTCACACAGCAACCGGAATTCAACCCAGTTTAAGGTGAAAAGCCCTGTCCCAGGCGTGGCCTCCAGCCCTATCAACACCTCCAGATCAGGAGCCTGGAGCAGGCTCGGCACGGGCTTGCCAGGGACACACCGCCAGTCTTTGCCAGAGTTGGGCCAGATGCCCAGGTGTTCTCAGTCTCAGGCCCAGGTCTCCTGCCATCCCAGCCAACCCTGTCATGTTCCCAGTGGAGGCTTGGGCCAGCTCCATCCCAGAGCTACCTTAGTGACAGAGAGAGTCTTGGGCAGGATGTGGCAATCTGGCACCCATCCGCAGGCAGAGAGGCCCCTTGGTGTCCCCTCTTCCCCTGGCTGCTCAGGGAAGGGATCCCTCTTGTTTTAAGGGCCAGCCCCACCTCCTCTACAAGCAGCCCTGGGCCTGCATGCCTTCCCTGATCACGCAGTCCACGGGACGCCTCCCTTTGTAGCACAGTCTGATCAGGTGTTTATGTCCATGCATCCCTACATTGCTTCTGGGGATAGGATCAATGTCCTGTTCATATTTGTGTCTCTGAAGCCCGAGTTGGTTGAAGTGGAGGGTTTGGTGTATTGGGAAGAACCCAGAGAGAACTGGCTCAAACCCAGGCCCCGACTTGTACCAGCTGTGCAACACCCTTGACCCCTCGCAGCCTTTTCCTCCCTGCAATGATGCTTCCCTGCGAGAGCAGGTGGGCACTGCTGACTGGATGTGCAGAGCACCTCGCACAGAGCTTGGCCGTGGAGGAATTCAACACGTGGCAGCTTGTGAGTAAACGTACTCCGGGCTGTGCCTTCATGCCGCCCTCCACGCACGCGCCCTCTTCCTGCAGAACCATGCTCAGACTCACCGGCCCCTGAGAGGCCGCACTCTCCCTCCGACTGCTTCCCCTTGCATGTGGGTGTGGGTGCATGCGCGTGTGTGAGTGCATGCATGTGTGTGAATGCATGCACATGTGAGTGGGTGCACGTGTGTGTATGTGAGTGCATGCACGTGTGTGTGTGTGTGTGTGTGTGTGTGTAAGGGTTTGTGTTTTCTCTCCCCCAGCAAGCACCTGCCTAGCTTTCGGTCCTTGCTACAGGCCTCTGGGTCCACGCTTCTCATTGTGTAGTACAAGGCATATGAACCCCACGGGGGGCAGTGTTGTATACTGATTCCTGGGCCCCACTCTAGACCTACTTAATCTGAATCTCTGGGGGAGAGAGGAGGGTCCTTCCATGAACTGATATTTTAACAAGTACCCCAGACACTTCTGAAGATTCAGCCCACGCGGGAAACAGCTCTGAGGAAGGGTCGGGCACCCTGCTTCAAGGGTACTGGGGTTGGGTATCACGGGTTTCTCCAGAGCTCACAGTCTCACCTCCTGATCTCCAGGGTCAGCAGCCCATAGTTATTGGTGATTCGGTACTTTCCGGCAGGGAAGAGGCGGGGATCGATTTGCACGTCATTTTTGTACCTGTGGAGACACAGTGGTCTGTGGCAGGAAGTGTGGTTCCGAGTGGGAGGAATTCGAAACCCCTCGAACCTGGATTCCAACCTCAGCTCTGTGCTGCTTCTTCACGTATGTGACCCAGGGCAGCCGCCCTGAACCTCAGTTGCTCTCAGCTGTGAAATGAGAGTAAGAAGAGCACCAACCTTGTAGGGTTGTTGTGCTGATTCAATGGGATAAGATAACAAGATAGGTAAAGTTTTCTCCAGCACCCCGAACATTATAGATGTCCATGAGTCCATTCCCCTACTGGGGTGCAGAGAAGAGGCAGCCTGTAATTAGGGATAGCTGCTCCTCCCCATATTGGGGCACTTCCAGAGACCAGCCCCCAGATTTTCCCTCCTCTGAGGTGGGTTGCCAAAGAAGGTGCTCCCATCCCTAACACCCTGTCGACCCCTCAGGACAAGTTCTTTACCTTGGCTCTTGTTAGAATCACCAGAGGAAGCTTTAAAAATCTCCACACCCAGATTTTAAACATAAGCTTTTGGAAATCTGCATCAGAAACTACTAATTATTCTACCATAGCATTTTCCTCTTCTTCTAAAAGAATAGAATTTATCAATGAGCCACTAAATATGTAACATCCTTCTAGCCTCCCTTTCTGCCAGCTGTGGCCATGGGACTAAGTATTGTCAACAGAAAGTGAGACAAGTCTCATGTGGTTGCTCTTGCCCCCCCCCCCTTTTTTTTTTTTAATTTTTAAAAATATTTTTTCTTGCCCTGGCCGGTTTGGCTCAGCGGTTAGAGCGTCAGCCTGTGGTCCAGGGAGACCCAGGCTTGGTTCCTGCTAAGGGCATGTACCTCGGTTGCAGTTTGTCCCCAGCCCTGGTTGTGTGGGTGGCAGCCACTCGATGTGTCCCTTTCACGCCGATGTTTCTCTCTCTCTCTCTTCCTCCAGCTCTATCTGAACAAAAAATAGAGAAGTGTCCTCGGGTGAGGATAAAAAAACAAACAAAAAAATTTTTTTATTGATTTTAGAGAGAGAGGAAGGGGGAGAGAGAGAGAAACATCGATGAGAGAGAACATCGATTGGCCACCTCCTGCACACCCCCCACTGGGGATCGGGCCTACAACCTGGGCATGTGCCCCGGCCAGGAATCGAACTGGTGACCTCTTGGTGCATGGGTCGATGCTGAACCACTGAGCCACACCAGCCAGGCACTACTGCTCCATTTTATGCCATCTTTCCTTCTAGCCGAGGCAGGATCTGACCATGCTGACTGCCATCTCGCATAGGGAAGACCAGGCCTGATCCCTGAGTAATACGTGAGCGGAGTTGCCACAGCAGCCCCACCCCATCTACATCAGACACGTACATGAAAGAAAAAGAAACTACCATATTTAAACCAGTAAAAAAAAAAGTGCATCCCAGAATTAAAGTCAGGATTTCTGGAGGTGGGACCTGGGCATCAGTAGTTTTTAAACTCTCAGGTGATTCCCAGTGGACCACCCCTCTGCTCCTGGGCACGGCTGCTTATTTCCTGTGAACACTGGGGTCCTGTTCGCCCCTCCGTGAGCCCTAGACAGTGAGATGGTCTTGCCTCTGTCCATAGTCCACTGAGGGAGGTCTGGAGCCTGAGGAGTCAGGGCTGGCGAGTGAAAGTTATGAGGCTTGGACACATATTGCTGTGTGACCTTGGGCAAGTCAGTCCCCTCTCTGGGCCTCTGAGCCCATGAAGTCTGCCCCAGCAGTGTTTGCAGTGGAAGAGCAGGACTCAGCCGAGAGAGAGCACCCCGGCCTCAGTGCATTGCCTCTCTTGGACCTTGCTCCTCCACCGCATGCCCTGTTTGTCTCCTTGGCAACCAAACAGTGCCATGCCCACACCCCACCACCTAAACCCCAGGCTACACCCTCTTCTGAAAGAAGCCCAACTAGGTCTTCTGTGGGGCAGGTGGGGCCAATCTTTCCACTTCTCCCAGGCTTGGGGGTCAATGTCAGTCCCCCCACCCCTCTTATCAGGAACATTCTGGACACTTCAGCCTGGCCAGCTTCTGCTTTTCCCAGGAAAAGCAGCAATTGTAGCGCAGGGAATGACCTGAACTGCCAGGGACCCCCATGCTCATCTCGCCCGCCCTCTGGGCTTCTCCTGCCCAGGCGGTGGGCCCTGTTGGCATGGGCTGTGCTGATTCCTCAGTGGCGGCCAATCAGAAAATAGCATTAAATGAGACGGTGAGGCCGGGTGCCCAGCCCGGAGCCTGGCTTAGCGATGGCCCATAAAAGGGTGAGCTTTTCATGGTTTATCTCAATTTATTTTTTCCTTACTTCAGTGTTAGATTTCCGTTCTGAAGGCTGCTTGGCCAAGCAGATAAATTCTGACATCAGGGGAAATCATGTCCAGGGCCCAGTTCTGCAGCATTCAAGGGGCCAGGCTGGGACCTCGCCTACCTTGCCCTGTCGCTGCCCGGCATTCAGCGAGTACTCAATAGTTGCTGAACAAAGGACTTGCTTCACCAGCCTGGGGGGCCAAGACCTTCCTTCTGACCTGGGGCGGGGCCTCTACGGGGGCCTGGACAGAGCTCTAGAGGTCAACCCCAGGATGACATGTGGCCCTGCCAGAGGTGATCGATGATGGAAAACCAGTCCCCAAAGCCAGGAGCCACAGAGGCCACCCGAGTCCCTCCAGCTGGAGGTGGGCCTGGCCTGGGCTCCCACCACTTACAAGGAATGTTCTGTTGTGTCAACCTCGCCCTGTTGTGGCAACATTGCTGGCAGGGGCGGAAACGAGTCCCCTTGTCGAGAGGCTCCCACAGAATGTCTCAGATGTGGGCGGCAGTGCCAAGGCAGGTCAGGGTTTGGCTGCCGGGCCAGGACAGCTGAGGGGCTGACCCCTGCTTAGCCCAGCCCAGCTGTCGGGAGCAGTCCTCCTACTGAAGCAGAAACTTGCAGGCAGGGCCTGCTTTGGACCCCACAACATTCCAGGGCCCTGTATGGTGCCTGGCACACTTTTTTGATTGAATGCCATCTGGCCATGGCCAGCCCCAGTGTCAACACCCTCAAGATGCCTTTCCTGACTGCCCCTGGCCCAAGTGCTTTCTATTCCTCTGACTTCTGGAGCATTGTGTGTGCCGTAGGGGAAAACAAGCACCAATTACGGCTTTCCCACTCTCCAGGCCAGAAAGAGCTATGGGCTGGCAGGCAAAAAACCCGAGTCTGAACCCTAAGTCACATTGCCTCTCTGAGCCTTGATGTCTTTACCTATGAAATGGGGATAATATTCCCTACCTCATGGGGGGGGGGGGCGGGTGGCGAGGTTCAAATGAGAGAAGAGTGCTGGGTCAATGTAAAGGGGGTTCAAGTGTTAGATATATAGAGAAGTGATCTCGATTTTTGTGTGCTTATCTTCTCTCTCCTTCTAGATATGGTCTATTCACATTCATGATCCGGCCTCTATGTCACCTCCTCTGAGAAGCCCTCCTGGATTCTCCAGGTGGAGGTAGCCACTGCCTCCTCTTCACCTCCACTCTTTTACCTCAATGTCACCCATGAACACGCTTCTCTGTGTGTTGATGTTTCTCTTCTGGGCTGAGAGTTCCTCGAGGGAGGCTGTGTCTGAGTCATTTCTACACCACAGCGCCTGGGTGAGGGCCTGGGTGAGGGTCTGAGTCATTGCTACACCACAGCGCCTGGGTGAGGGTCTGAGTCATTGCTACACCACAGCGCCTGGGTGAGGGCCTGGGACAGTTTCTACTTCTTGTAAACGTTGGTTGAAATCCCCTCCTTGTCTTCCAACATGGGCCTTAGACTCAGGGGAACTCAGGAAGCAGTGGGCTCAGCTGTGTGAATGACATGCCTCTCTCCGCGGGAGAACGGAGACCCGGGACACGGCCGTGCCCACCCCCTCTTCACTGTGCTTATTCGGGAGACGCCTGCCACCTCCCCAGGAACGATCGCCTGCTTTTCAAGCGCCTTTCAAGTTCTGAGAGTTTTCACACTGTTGTGGCATTAAATCCTCACCACATGCAAGCTGGACCGATCTTCAACCTCTTTTGCAGAATAGGACACTGAGGCAGGACAGGGGAGGTTAAGAGATGCACTAAGATTACGAAGTGACTCAGGAGAGAGAGCAAGAGCCAGGCCTGCACCGCGGGGCTCCCACCCCAGGCCTGAGCTCCTTCTCACTGTGGGGCCCCTGCTCTTCCCACCTCCCTGCTGCTCCCCTGCCCGGCCCCCCACCGTCATCCTCCAACCCTGGACATAGCCAGCTGCTTTCTTATGCCACCAGAATCATATTTTTACAAGTGCTGGCTCCCCCGTGGCCCAGTCTTCCAGCCCCAGGTAGCTAAGAATAACCCCTCCTGAGCCTCCCAGCAGCTGCTCTGGGGGTGGGCAGAGCTCAGGGTCTGTGGGGCTGCAGCTTTTCTAAAGCAGCAGGAACTTCTGGGGGAGGGACCGGGCCCCTGGGAGTGTTGGGCTGTAAGGAACTCACACTCATGTGACCAGGGGCAAGGCGAGGACCCTCGTCTCCTGGCCCGGTGGCTTACCAGGTGACCTGGGGTGGAGGCGAGGCCTGGATGGTACAGGTCAGCAGGACGGTGGCGTGCTCCCAGACGGCATGGGAGCGAAGTGGGATCCAGAACCAGGGCCCCCGGCTGGAGCACAGCTCCCTCAGTTCCTTGGCCTCCCGAACCTTCTCCTCTGTCTGGAGCCAGAAAAAGGCACCTCTGAGCCAGGGCATCAACTCTCCCCCATCTTCACGATCACCTTCCCCCTGACGCCCAGACTCTGGAGTCAGACTGACCGGAGCCGGAGCCCCTTGGCAGCATCTGTGAGGCAGTGTGGCCTGGGGGCAGAACATGGGCTTCAGAACCAGCTGGCCTGCGGTCAAGGCCAAATTCTGCCATTTTCTGGCTGTGGGACCACAGGCAGTTCTCAGGGTTCTCTGCTGTAAACTGGGGGTGATAACCATAGCCCCCACCCTCCTGTGGGGTTGCAGTGAGGATTTAATGAGTAAATATGTGAAAACATGGGTGTTGCTCTCCTGCCCAGGGAGGGGGACGGAGTGTGGCTTCCATCCCTGACATTGGTCAGCAATAGTGTTTCCCGAGGGTCTTCCGAGTTCCAGACACTGGGAAAGCGCCTTTAGAAGCCTGTCTCATTCAATTCCCATCTCAACACTGAGTGATGACCCAACCGCATACATCTGCTGTGCAGATAAGAAAACCGATCAGCCGGGAGGTGTGGCTCAGTGGATTGAGTGTCGTCCCATGGACTGAGAGGTCCTGGTTCGATTCCCAGTCAGGGCACATGCCCAGGTTGCAGGCTCGATTCCCAGGAGGGGGCGTGCAGGAGGTGGCCAACGGATGTTTCTCTCTCACATTGATGTTTCTCTTTCCCTTCCTCTCTAAAAAAATCATTTAAAAACAAAAACAAAAAACCATTCCTCAGGAGGAATCCCTTGCTTGCCTAAGGTCACACAGCGGGGGGTGGGGGCACCAGGATTCAAACCCGGTTGACATCCAGTGTCTGGGTTCTTTCTTTTGTTGTTGTTGTTGTTGTTTTTATCCTCACCGGAGGGCATTTTTCCATTTTTTGTTCAGATAGAGTGGGAGGGAAAGAGAGGAAGAGAGAGAGAGAAACATTGACATGAAAGGGACACACCGAGTGGCTGCCTCCCGCTCGACCCAACCAGGGCCGGGGACAAACTGCAACCGAGGTACATGCCCTTAGCGGGAACCCAGCCCGGGTCTCTCTGGACCGCAGGCCGACGCTCTAACCGCTGAGCCAAACCGGCCAGGGCTGGGTTCTTTCTTGATGCCCCGTTGCTCCTTGAGAAGGGGGTCGAGTGGCATGGGTGACATGTGAGGGGTCCCAGGTCTCAGGTCCCCGGGGCTCCCCGGCCCAGCCCCCTCACCCGCCGTCTCAGCGCCCTCCGGTTGCGTGTCTGGCGCAGCAGCCACTGGGTCCGGAGGAAGGCGACGTCCGTCCTCTCCAAGTCATTCCCGAAGCCCACCCGCTTCTGCCCTCGCTCCTCCAGCTCCACAGCGGAGGTCTGGCGCCTCAGCTGGGCCTCCCTGGGTGACAGGACAGAGTGGCTGAGCACCCGGACGGGTGGGCGCCACCACGCCCAGCATTATCACCTGTATTCTACGCTTCTCGAGAAGATCAATTTAATCCTCTCTTGCCTCCAAAGCACTCCGAATGCGCCCTGCTTACAGTAGGCGCATAATAAGTGCTCGCAATTTGGTTTACAAGGCTCTTCCACAGCCACTGTTCCTGCTGTTCTCGCTGCAGCAAGTGATGGGCATGTGTCCGGCCGCTTCACAGGACGGACCCCGAGGATCGGCCACCTGCTTCAGGACAGCCCGGGCCCTACCCAGGCCTCCTGGCCCAGGACGCCTCCGACGCCCTCTCACTCGGCGGTGTTTCCAGTCTTGGGACTTGTGTCCAAAACCTGGGGCTGCTCTACTTGCTCCCCTCTCCCCAACCCCCTCCCGCACCGTGGCAGGCGTGGGGAGGGCTGGACCCCCCCCCCTCTTGGGGACGGCCCCTCACTTCTGCCTGTGGACTGGGGCCCGGGGCGGGCTTTGGCCGTGGCCTTGGCCTCGCTGCTCAGCCCAGACGTGTCACTTTGGGCAGCTCCTCTAAGCTCGGTGTGGGGGCTCAGCGGGAGGGGGGGCTGGCCCGATGGCCCTTCTCAGCCCAGGGCTCTCGGGACAGTGCCTCGACTCACCAAGACGTCTCGGAGGAGGCGGTCAGGGCCAGGGCGGCCGCGAGGGCGTAGTCGGCGGCGCTGAACTGGTACTCCTCCTCGCTGCTGCCCGGGAGAGGGCTCCTGAGCGGAGGGCGGCGGCCACCCCCCCTCGGGGACCCCGCGCCCCGTGCCTGCCCCACACACTGGGGTCTCCGAGAGCAGGCCGTGCCCCCGCCCCGGGCTGGGGTCTCCCCCCCAGACCAGGGACCCCGGGTCGGGGGTAGGGCGGGGGCCGGGGCCCCCGAGGCTGCCACCTGCTGCGGAAGGTCCGCCTCCGCACCGACGAGCCCATGCGCAAGCTGTGCTGCCGCTGCTCCTCCCGCTCCTCCTCCTGGCGGCGCTCCAGCCTGTGGACCTCCGCGGCCTGGGGGAGCTGGGGCCCCCCCACGTTCCCAGGGTTGTGGGGCAGAGTCATGGCTGCAAAATGACCACCTGCCAAGCCAAGGTTGCATGGTCACTGCCCCAGGTGTGGGCCCGTCCCTTTCCCACGTGGTCCCAGCACCTCTGGGAGGTTTGGGGTGGGGGGTGCTCTCTCCAGGGGTCAGACAGGGGAATAGAGGCCTGAGAGGGAGAGGGACTTGCCCAAGGTGACAGAGGTGGACTTGTGCTCTGAGCCTGGCTTCACCACCCCATGTGTTCCCCAGCTGAGTGAGCAGAGCCCCACTTTGGGGATCAGGCTTCTTGCTGCAACGCTGTCCTTGCCTCACTGTGTGGCCTGGGACAAGGCCTTGCGTTCTCTGGGCCCAGCTTCCCAGATGGTTGATCACTGTGATATCCAAGGGCTGTTCTATGACTTATGATGGACAGCTCTCCTTATCCTTCCCACACAGGCCACACGCAGTCCTGCCACTGAGCCTTGGCCTGACCTGGTTTCTTCACTGGAAAACCTCCTCCTCCTCCTGGTTGCTTCTCTATTCAGGCTCCAAAGCCCAGCCTGCACGGGCTTCAGTGAGCCCAAAGGTTGAGCGTGGAGACTCTGGGTCCATCCCGACTGTGATCCCAGCTTCTGGTTCCAGTTCACAAGTGTGTGACGTCGGACAAGACTCTATAACTTGGTGTCCTCATCTATAAAGTGGGTCTACTGACCTCTCAGGGTTGTTGTAAAGGGTTGATGAGTTCCTGGCACGTAGTAGGTACTATATCAGTGGTAGGCATTAGCATTATTTTTATAAGCGCCTCCCAAAAGCCACAGGCCACCTAGAATTGTGGTCCTATCCGTCCTCTAATCCCTCCCACTCTTTGTATGCAGACTTACAGTTTAGCTCTGGTTTAGAAAATATCTCTTATTATTGAATTAGTTCATATCAGTGCACTGTGACCTTCAACAAGGTTGTAAATGAATTAAAAGTCACAATAGCGTGCTTACTGTGGGCCAGGCCGCGTGTTAGGAGTTTTCAGATGCGTTATCCCCGGTCCTACAACAATGCAATTGACACAGCACTGTTACCATCCCACGTACTTAGGAGGAGGGGAAGTGCTTGCCCAAGGCCCCAGGGCCGGGTTGTGGGGGGCCATGGCTGGCACCCAGGTCTGCCCAGCTCTGAGATGTGTGTCCTGACCGCGTCACACATCTACTCAGGACCAGGCCTTGGCTGAGGCTGAGGACACTGGGCCACACGGTCTTTCTTTTTGTAAGGGGGTCACAATGGAAGGGATCCTCTCTTGTATTCCTGAGGCTCAGGTCTGGGCCTCCAGGCGGCGCCCAGTAGGACTGGACCAAATTGTTCTGAAAGAGGCTCAGGGATCGGGGAGTGAGTCCTGGGAGGCCAGGAGAGTGCCCGGATGTGGGCCTCAGTGTCACCTCCGGGTTTCTGAGGGCCCCTCTGATGCTGAAGCTCTAGGATGCTGGGCGGAGTTCCCCGAATGGCGTAGACACACGCTCCAGGTGGGGATGCTGGGGGGCGGGCCTCGGAGCTGGCAGGGTTCTTGGCGGGCTTGGACCTGATGCAGATCCTGGACATGAAGAAGGGAGCAGCAGAGGCTAACACCCCAGCCCTGTCCTGTCGGCTTCCACGAGGCCCAGCTTTGGGTGCCCGGCCTGAATCTCCGAGTGTGTGTGTGTGTGTGTGTGTGTGTGTGTGTTCTGCCCTGGGTGTGAACAGGGTACCAGGATGATCATTTCTCTAAGTTCACGACATGGCAGGTGGGCCCACTGGCCTCATCAGAGATCCTTGGCTGGAGGGCCTATTGTGGAGTGTTGGGGGGCTCAGGCTGCCAAATGCCAACCTTGGTGGGCACTTATTGACTCCTTCCAGTTCCTAAAAGTTTGATCCTTTGGGTGTCCAAGAGAGACTGGATTACTGAGGGGTCTCAGCCGGGGCCACGGGCTGCCCCGAAGCTTTGTTGGCCTCACGCCATGACCTCTCCCCTTGCATTCCCATCTGGTCGCTCCTGAGCAAGAGGGTCTGCCTGTACCCGGAGCGTGGCTGTGCTCATTCTGCTCGTCCCTCCTCACAGCCCGAGAGGAGAGTGCTGGGTACCACCCTAGGCAGCGGAGGGCCCCAGCTTTCCTGGGACACTGTGGCCTGGCCCCAGCAGCTGAGGGTTAGCGTTCCCTGCGTCAGCGGCTGGCTCCCTTCCCCATGCTCTGTCCCAGTTAGCACAGTGGGTGGGCCTGGCGCTCATCCCTGACCTCCAGGGCCTCCCCGAAACCAGACCCCCGGCTTTAGCAGATGAGCCATCCGTTCTTTTTAAAGCACTGACTGAGGCTTAGGATTAAGCAGATGCTGTGTGTGCCCGGCAGGGAGGGGCCAGCAGGGTGGGGGCCAGGGGAGAAAGCCGCCCCCCTCGCCCTCTTCTGGGGTGCAAAGCCCTGAGCTAGGGGTCCTGCCATATGGCCACTTTTCTCCCAAACCTCAGGTAACCAACTATGAAAGGGCGAGGTGGCCTCCCCCCTTCCTCAGGAGGGAAAGAGGAGTGTACGAGGCTTTCTGCTGAGTCGTGTGGGCAGAGCAGAGACAGCCTGTCTTTCTGCTCTGGCTCTACCAGCTTCCAACAAGCAGGAACTCTGACCCTGCCACTGAAGAATGAGACCATCTGCCCTGTCTGGGCCTCAGTTTCCTGCCAGGGAAGCCAGGCTGGATGAACGCCCTCCTGGCCCCGAGATCTGGGCCCAGCGAGCTTTCTCTGTTGGCCGGGTCTGTCAAGCAGGACTGGCCAGCACTGCTCAGGTTTGCTGAGCTGCCAGCTCACCTTCTCCCTGGGATTCCGGCTCCCCCAGGAAAGCCTCCACTTCCCAGCTCCTCGAGATCTCTTTTCTTTTTCCTCCAGCTTTCGCATCACAGGGGGCTCAGCTCAGCTCAGAAGAACCGGGACCACACCACGGCGGGATAGATAGATTTCCTTCCCTCCCATTTCCATCTGAGTACTACCTAAACACATGTCTACCTTCTCTTTCCAGATCTCCTAGGCAGCTCCTTTTCCAACGCGCGCGCGCGCGCGCACACACACACACACACACACACACACACGCTTCCCAATGGGAAGTGAGGGTCTCACTTCCCAGGGGTGTCCCTTCCCACCCGGAACCCTGGAAGTGACTCACAGAAGCAGCCGTGTCCACTTGGGTGTCTGGGGAGAAGATTCCAGAGGACGATAGGCTCCTTGGTCCCGTCTTGCCCTGGGCTCCGTGGGGACAGGGAGAAGAATGCGACCCTGGAGCCTGCGTGAGCCTTAAATATAGCAGCACTGAGACAGTGATGACAATGGATGGGGACGGTGCGGGGGGTGAGGGAGGGGCCGTTCCCTCGGTCCAGCGTTACTCAGGCAGCAGCAACAGGTGGGGCTGTCCCCACCCTGGACTGCTCCCCCGCCAGCTGGGTCCCTTCTGCCCAACTCCTGCCCCCATGAGAGCAGAAAGACAGTAAGAGCTCAGGCTTGGTTGTATGGAAAGCGGATAAGGGCAGTTTCCTGGCTGCTGAGAGTTCTGATCTGAGTTCTCCCCATGCTGGCTGGTGCCTTGGGGAAGAAACCCCCTTCTCTGATCTGATTCCCTCCTAAAAACGGACACAGTGAGACTGGGCACCCAGACTTCATGAAAACAATGGAGGACTCGTGACCTAAAAATGAGTCTTCAGTGTTCAGAAGTTATCACTGGCTAGAATGGAAGTGGGTGGCTTCTTGTCTCTCTACCACCCCCAGCGGCTACTGCCCCTGCCCTGGGTGGCCACAGTCGTGTGTGTGTGTGTGTGTGTGTGTGTGTGTGTGTGGTGGGGACAGGCAGGAGGGGAGTTGGGATGTCATTTCTTTTTTTTTTTAATTTATTTTTTCCTTTATTGATTTTTTAGAGAGAGAGGAAGGGAGAGGGAGAAAGAAATAGAAAAAAACACCGATGAGAGAAAGCATCGATTGGCCTCCTCCTGCATGCCCCCCACTGGGGACTGGGCCCACAACCTGGGCATGTGCCCTGACTGGGAATCGAACCGGCGACCTCTTGGTGCATGGGTTGATGCTCAGTCACTGAGCCACACCTGCCGGGCAAGGGATGCCATTTCTTCTTCACTGTCCAAATTCCTCAGGCTTCTGTTGTGGCTGCTGTGGGACCCTCCTTCCCTACCTTTGCTACACCCCTACCCCCATCTCAATTCTTCCCTCACACTGGTCACACCTGCCCTTTGCCAGGCCTGGTGGGCACCGAGAATGCAGAAGTGAACAAGATAAGACCCATGATGTGGAAGCATCTAGATGGGGAGACAGGCAGTTACAACAGGGGGAGATCAGGAAGGGACGCCTGAGCCAGGTCTCAGGGGACCACCAGGTTTAGGGAAAGCTGCGCCAGCTCCAGTCCAGAGCACAGCCTCCCTCCCTGGCGCCCCCTGGGGCTCGGGGGCAGCAGCACTGTGCCTCTCACTCTTTTTTTTTAATCCTCACTTGAGGATATTTTTATATTTATCTTCAGATAGAGTGGGAAGGGAGAGAGAAGGAGAGAGAGAAACATTGATGTGAGAGGGACACATCGACTGGTTGCCTCCCCCAAAACCCTGACCAGGGCCAGAGACGAACCACAACCGAGATACATGCCCTTGGCCAGAATCGAACTGGAGAGAGAGAGAGAGAGAATGAGAACACACAAGTGATTTATTGCAGCCAAAATCTCCATCTCCTGTCCTCTTTTTTTTTTTTTTAATCCGAGGACATGTTTGCATTTATCTTCAGATAGAGCAGGAGGGAGAGAGGGAGGAAGAGAGAGAGAGAAACATTGACATGAGAGAGACACATCGAGAGGTTGCCACCCACATGACCCCAACTGGGGCCAGGGACAAACTGCAACTGAGGTACGTGCCCTTAGCGGGAACTGAACCTGGGACTCTCTGGTTCATGAGTCGACGCTCTAATCACCGAGAAAACTGGCCAGAGCTCCTGCTCTCTTTGAAAGTCCCCTTCTTAAGCATCCCCCTTTCTCCCTGGCTGCAGTGTTAAGAGCATCC